AGCGACATCAGTAGCCGATGACGGCTTTCGCTGCTGCCAGGATCGTGTACTGAAATGGGGAAGTGCTGGGTATGCTCCCTCGCGCATTCTACTCTGCCTTGAGCTTGTGATATGCACATGTGAAACAAACCATACGTGACCTGGATGCAAGCGAACACGTTGCGGACGCGGGCAAATGACCAAGAGGGAGCGCCAGAAGGTGAAGCAGGCGAGGACAAGAGGGAGTGGCTGAAATCATCGCGAAAAGGGGGCTCACATCCAAGAATCGGCTGCACTCACAAGAGTGACCCTGGGTAAGAGTGACCTTTGGTGCGCGGCTTTTGGGGGGCCGCGGGGGTGCCAAACACAAGCGCGCAAGACGCCACTACCGCATCGCGCTCGGCGATCGGGGGACCCCATTGGGCCCGCACCAAAGATCACTCCGGCGAAAGGTCACTCTTACGTGCAGTTGAAAGCAGACAGGGCCGTACTCCCCTGGCCAGGAGCCGGGCGGGGGTGGCCCAGGCGCCGGCCGACGTCTCGAGGCGGGCCCACGCCAAGGACGGCGGAGCTTGCGCGGGGATTATCCTCCGGAGCGCGGCCCGTCCTGGGCTGACCTGAGCGTCGGGGGGGGGAGGAGGAGGAGGAGGAGGAGGAGGAGGAGGAGGAGGAGGAGGAGGAGGAGGAGGAGGAGGAGGAGGAGGAGGAGGAGGAGGAGGAGGGGAGGAGGAGGAGGAGGAGTGGGAGGAGGAGGAGGAGCGGGGGAGAGCCAGGGAGCGAAAAGGACGGCGGAGGAGGGAGGGCGCGAGGTCCAGGAGCAAGGATCGCCGGAGCGACCGAGTGACCACTCGCCGTGGACGGGGGGGGGCGGCCGTCCAGCACGGCAAGGCGGAGCTCCACGTTCGCAGCCGTCGCGCTCAGTTGCCATGCGTGCTGGGGGGGACCCATGGCATGGTAGGAGCGGAGGGAAGCAGTGCAAGGTACTGGACTATGCTGACGCGGTTCGTCCACCCCTCGGGGGAGAGAACACCTCGGATGAAGTCCACGAGCGACCATGTTCCTGCAGCTGCGCCAGTGAACGTGGATGAGGAGGGAGTGGATGAAGTTGGAGGAGGAGGTCAACGTCGAGGGAGGGGAGGGCGGTCCAGGAAGACAAGGAGGGAAGAACGGATGTGGTAACTTTGGGGAGGTCGTCGTGGGAATGAAGAAAAGCAACTGAGACAGATTCGGAAAGTATCAGAACCATATTAAAACCAAATGAGCAGCTAGACCAGATTCAACCAGAGCAGGCGGGATTGAACAATATAGTTCGGTTGTGAGACCCGATTGCTTCTTATCGCCGATGCTGACATACACCTCCCAGGAGTTGCAAACTGACATCCCAGTCCTCCAACGGCTTGAACGTCTCTAGGTGTATTCGTTTCAAGATTGTCGGCGTACGGACGCCATGTTCGGGTTCCTGTGCTGCCAGAAATCGACTGAGGATGAAACATCGGCCCTAGGAAAGGAGATGGGGACTTCCTGCGACCCCGCATTCAAAACATATAACGATGGAGGTCTGGATCCAGGGAGGGCCCAATCAGCGTCGACACGACCTCGAACATCGCCGTGGCCGTCGTCTGGACCTCGTGGCTGCTGCGGCCAGTGCCGTCGTCGTCGTCGTCCGCAGCAGCAGAGGGCAGCTCCCTCCGCCCCCGCGGGGCCATGCTCAGGATGTCGTTCTGCAGCTCCGCCGGGCCGCCCCCCCAGAAGGCGTACATCGGGCAGAGGACGAGCAGCTGCGGCGCTCCTGGCCGCGCTGGCCGGCCCCTCCCCGGGTCCAGCAGGACGCGGAGGAGGAGCACGACGAGGGGGAGAAGCAGGAGCAGGGGCAGGAGGAGCAGGAGGGGGAGCAGACGGAGTGGAGGGTGGAGAGTCGCGACTTGGGGGTCTTGCTTGGCGTTTCTTGGGCCTCTCCTGGGCCTCCCGATGCCTCCACAATGCGGGCGCTGCTTGTGGGGGGGGGGGGGCAATGAACGGGGGGGGGAAGAGAGGAGTGCACGTTTCGTGCACCCTCGGGGCCCCAGGGGCCCCCTTTCCTTTGCAACCCTCCCTCTCCCAATGGATTCCCCCCCCATCACAACCCTCGATCCCCCTCCCAATGGATTCCCCCCATCACAAAACGTTCGGACTATCCCATACGAAGGCCTTGATGGGACCCCCAGATGCCTCCGCGGAGACCCCCGAAGACACCCCCCAAAGAGGCTCAGGCCTCCCGTGGCAGGGGCAACAGACTATCGTAGATCGGCTGGCCCTGCTCTTCGCCGCCAGAAAAGCAATTAATGTGTGGCCGCGGGGACCCTCGGATGGGTTCCTCCCTGTCACACCCCGAAGCCATTCGGGAGGGCGAGCCAGGCGGTTCGCCTGAGACCTAAATACAACTCATGAGCCTGAAGATGTTAAACTGGCGCACAGATTTACAGATGAAGGGAGGGTAGTTTTCAAGTTGTGGCTCTTGCCTTAACGATGCGCGCATTCTTTGAACAAGAATATATATGAGCTTCACGGATTGAGGGCGAGTTGTTTTCAACATGTGCATCTCGTCTTAGCGCCGCGCTCATTCGTTCCCAAACGTTGCAAGAGCTTCACGGATTGAGGGCGGGTGGTGTTCAAAATGTCGCTGCCTCCTGAGCGCCGCGCACAATCAACCTAACAATTTGCAAGCGTTTCACTGGTTCGCATGGTAAACGAACCAGAAGCTGCGTTTTGGAACTATTCAGGATTGCCGGGGGCGCAACAGTTACGTCGATTCGCGGTGTCGGAGTTCAAGAAATTTGTTCTTGCACGATTCAGGATCGCCAAGACGCAACAGTCAGGTTAACTCGTGGCGTTGAAGTCCTGGTGGTTTGGAGCGCCCAACAGGGAAACTCCCTCAAAGGAAATGAACCCTGCAGGGGGAGATAAGCAGGGAGCGTGGAATGAGGGTGTATTCTAACATCGTTGATGAATCTTGGGTTTGCACTGGTCGTCGTCTTCCACCTCCTCCTCCTCCTCCTCTTCCTCCTCTTCCTCCTTCTTCTCGGCATCCTACTCCTACTCCTGCTCCTCCTCCTCCTCCTCCTCCTCCTCCCTCTCTTCCTCCTCCTGTCTCCTCACCTTCCGTCTCCTTATCTGCCTCGCTCCTCTCCCCCTCCTTCCCTTCCTCTTCTCGCTGTCCTCCTCCAACTCCTCTTCCAACTGATCCTCCCCGGCACTGTCCTCCTCCTCCTTCTCCTCGTCCGTTCCTTCTCCTCATAACTAGCTCCTCCCTGTCGCGCCCCGGGGCTGGTCGAAAGGGCGGGAAGGGCAGTTCGCCTGAGACGTCCTCACCATTCCAAAATGTGGTTCTCGCCTTACCGCCGCGCGCTCGCCCGAAAAAGTTGCAAGAGCTTGACGGATGGAGGGCGGGTGGTGTTCAGAATGTGGCTCTCACCTTAGGGCCGCACACACTCGTCGTAAACAGTTGCAAGAGTTTCACGGATGGAGGGTGGGTGATGTTGAACATGTGGCTCTCGCCATCTGGCCGAGCGCACTCGTCCTAAAAACTTGCAAGAGCTTTAAGGATGGAGGGCGGGTCGTTTTCAAAATGTGGCTCTCGCTCTAGCGCCGCGCATGCTGGTTTTCTAAAAAATTGCAGAAGCTTCGCCGATTGAAAGCGGTTCGTTTTCAAAATCCGGCTCTAGCCTTCAGACCGCGCGAATTCGTTTCAAACGTGTGCAATTGTTCCCTGGAAATCCCATGACCAACGCAAGTACCAGGAACTGTGTTTTGGAACGATTCAGGATTGTCAGGGCGCGGCAGTTGCGTTGATTCGTGGCGTTGGAGTCCAAGAAATTGCGTTCTTGTGCGATTCAGGATCGCCAAGACGCAACAGTCAGGTTAGCTCGTGGCGCTGGAGTCCCGAGAATGTTGTTGTGGCACGTTTCAGGGCCTTCAGACGGTTGTCTCCCAACGAGGCACTTCCCTCAGTGGGAATGAACCCTTGTATGGGGCCTATGAAGAGGGAGCTTGGAGGGAGGGTTTACTCCGACATCGTTGATGAGCCTTGGGTTTACACTGGTTCTCCTCCTCCTCTGATTCCTTCTCCTCCTCCTCCTCCTCCTCCTCCCCCTCCTCCTCCTCTACTACCAACACCAGCATTGTAATCAGCATCATCAAGGTAACAAACATCGTCATATTCATCACCGCATCGCCATCATCCTGCCCAACAATACCACATCAAGCCGCAAAACCGTCAACATGAACCATCACCGTCGCCAAAATGATCAGCACCATCAGACACAATAGCAACAGCAGCATCATCAGCAGCAGCAAAAGCAGCAATAGTATCATCAGCATCGTCATCATCGCCACCACCTTTACCACCATCATGGCCACCACAATCAGGACCTCCACCATTATTATGGTCACCAGCACCACCATCACAATCTTCATCGTCACTATCAGCACGATCATCGTCGCCATGATAATCATCACCACCATCACCATCGTCAACAACATCATCACCATCACCATCACCATCACCATCATCATCAAAAACAGCATCATCATCATGATCTTCGTCGTCGGCATCATCGCAATCATCGCCATCATCCCCACCACTATCAGAATCATCACAGTCAGCATCAACGTCATTATCATGAGTACCATCATCATCGTCAGCCTCATCATCATCAGCATCAGCAGCATCATCATCATATTCAGCATCACCACCACCATCATCATCACAATCACCACCACCATTACCACCAACATCGTCATCATCAACATCACAACCACCACGGCCATCAACATCATCATCACCAACATCATCTCACCATCCCCTCCCCATCATAATCGTCACCGTCATCAGACTCACCAGCATGATGACCATCATCATCATCAGCATCATCATCATCATCATCATCATCATCATCATCATCAACATCACCATCATTAGCATCATCAGCACCATCATCGTCACCATCGCAATCGTCGTCGTCACCGTCGCCATCGTCATCATCGTCAACATCATCAACATCATCATCATCATCATCAACACCATAATCACCATCATCATCATCACCATCATCATCACCATCGCCATCATCATCATCATCATCATCATCATCATCAACAACAACATCGCCACCATCATCAATCACCACCACCACCATTATCACCAACACCACCATCACGTGCGTTCCCCTGTTTATTCCCGTGCGCTCCTGCGCCCCCTCCTCGCCCCCTCCATTCGCGGTTCCGCCGCCGCCTCCTCCCCGTCCAACCCGTCCTCCCGGCCTCGAATTGCTCCTCCTCTTGCGCCCTCTGAGCCCGCCCCCGCCCCCCTCCATCCGGTTCCCCCTGCTCCCGCCGCTCCCCTCTTCACGCGCTCCCCCTCCTCCTCCTCCTCCTCCTCCTCCTCCTCCTCCTCCTCCTCCTCCTCCTCCTCCTCCTCCTCCATCTCCTCCTCCTCCTCGCGCGCTGCAGCGCCCCAGAGGGCTTGGGCAGCGCGACGACGCCGACAGCGACGACCGCGACGACGGGCCGCACCCCGGCGGAGGGGACATCGCCGACGAGGCCGCCCGCGCTCCGCCCCGCGCTCCCACGAGCGCCAGGGCACGCAGGCTGAAGTGCAGAAACTCCACCATCATGGCCGCGTCCAGCCCGCTCGTGCGCTCCGCCTCGTCCTGCCGCGCCGGGCGGGACGGCCGCCACGCCACACGCGGCGCCGACGTCACCGCCACCGTCGCCGCCAGCGTCGCCGTTGCCGCCGATTGCTGCTCGCCCTACTCCCATGGATGTCCTCCTGCTCCTCCTCCTCCTCCTCCTTCTCCTCCTCCTCTTCCTCCTCCTCCTCCTACCCCTCTTCCTCCTCCTCCTTCCTCCTCCTCCTCCTCCTCCTCCTCCTCCTCCTCCTCGCGGTCCTCCTCCTCTTCATCCTAATCGCGCTCCTCCTCCTCCTCCTCCTCCTCCTCCTCCTCCTCCTCCTCTTCCTCCCACCTCCTGCACCAACGCTCTTCGTCATCCTTCTCCCACCCCGTCTCCTCCCCTGTCTTCTCCAACTCCATCTCCTCTCCTCCTCCCCATTGTATGTCTCATTCCGTCTCCCTCCCTCCTTCCCTTCTTACCCCTCCCCTGATGGAGGGGGACGAGGAGGAGCAGCAGAGATTCAGAGATTTCTGTCCTAGGTCCCCGTCCCGCCATACGAAACGAGGGGGACAGGAGAGGGACCACTCGTTCGCCATCGCCGAGGCCGCTGTCATCGTCGCCGCCGGCGTCGTCGTCGTCGTGGTCGCCATCCCGCCACATGCTCCCTCGCTCCTTCCCTCTCCTACCTCTGGCCCCATCCTCCGACCCCCTCGCCCTCATCCTTTTCATACTCCTCCATCTCCTTCTCTTGCTCCTCCTCCCCCTCTTCCCCTCCGCCTCACTCCATCCCTCCCTGCCGCTCGTCCCTCCTCTTCATCGTCCCTTTTCCTCCCTCTTCCTTGTCTCTACCCCTGCTCGTTCCCTCCCCGCCTCCCTCCTCCCCATTCCTCCCTTTTCCCTACCTTTCCCTCCTCCTCGTCCTCCTCCTCCTCGTCCTCCTCCTCCTCCTCATGCATCTCCTCACTCCTCTTCCCTCCCCCCGACCCTTCCTCCCACTTCGCCTCTCCTGTTGGTACTCCGCCCCCCATCCGCCCCCGCTCGCGCGGGGTCTCCACAGGGAAGGGCGGGGGCGACGCCGAGAGTTGAAGAGGTGGAGGACGAGTGAGGGAAGAGAGGAAGGACGAGAAAACTTGGCGAGATCGGAGAGGAGGATAGGGCAGTGATGCGGCAAGGCAAGGAAGTGGTTTTCTCGAGTAACAACGCCACGTAACTCCGAATCTAGAGCGCGGGAGGCTTCCTTGGAGCCCCTGACTGGTAACGTAGAGATGATGAGCTGAGTTTGCCCGCCCCCATGCATCGTGTGCAATTCCAGAGGAAGGTACCATACAGCTTCCAGCTACACGATAACATTATATCCCTACGCTCAGCAGCCATCCATTAGCATTCGCTTTTGTAGTGAAGCCGCGGCTCCTCTCGCATCGAAGACCCTGTATATGTTCAGCGTGAAACGTGGAAGAAGCGGCGCGCACTGCATTTGCAAGGGGGCGAACGAGGGCACCACGAGATTGCCGTGCTTCTTCACACGCACGCGCACACACGGGGTTTGTCCAATCTTGAACCTACGATGCATTCAGCCTGGGGTCCCTTCCTGTCCTTGGGCGCTAGGTGGAGGAGCCATCCGTACTCCCCGCTTGTGTGATCGATCTTCGGGGACCCGGGTAGGCGGTGAACCTCGATACGTGTGACTGCCCCAGAGCCCGACTGTATCCGCACCCGCCGCCTGCCGAGGTCCCCGAGAAGCCATCCCGCAGGCGGTGGCTATGGGGAAATCCCCGCCTCGGATCAGAGCCCCATCCTGGAACCACCGATGCCCGGAGGCCCCCACCCACCTAATGCGAGATGACGATTGATTAAAAAATGGGAGAGAACGATTTAAAACATAGTTTTCTGCTATTTCTGCACAATTTTCTGACTGGAGGAGAACGATTCTAAAATAGCTTTCCAGCTCGCGGCCGGTCTTTTCTAATCGTCATCTTGGGCGCCGCCGCGTGAACACGACCCCCGGTCATTCATTAATCGTCATCCTCCATTACTCCCCCGCTCCACGGTGACGCACAGGCCAGCGGTCACCCAGCCGATCACGCTGCTGGAGGGCTTGAACGGCGCCGTGCCGAACCCGTCCTGGGCACGGGAGCGGCGGCGGCAGCGACGAGGGAGAGTGTTCTGGAGGATCGATGCTCCTATCTTCTCGACGACTTGTTTTTACTGTGAACCCAGCTCTTCCCTTCGGCTTCGGCCACTGGGGCACATCATCGGACCCGCGGACACTAGAAAATGAGACTGGGCGAAAAACTGCCCCGGGGGGAAGGGGTCGGGACCTCTGGGGCCGCGCATTGAACATATCAAATCGTCGGGTCTGGGTTCGTACGCCTCTTAAGAATTAACTTGTCCACTGATTTCGGACTCCGGGGGGCCGACCTCGGACCCGCGAAGGCCACCAAGAACAGGGTCTGGGGTGACGCGCTTGCCAGGGGTGGACCACGGGAGGAGTCTGAGAAAGGATTCCGAGCGTGTTGGTCGGATCGGGTGAGGACGCCGACGACGATAGCGACGACGGCAGCGGCAGCGGCGGCGGCGATGGCGACGACGACAACGATGGCGGCAGACACGACGAGCAGGACGAAAACGACAGCGCTGACAACGACGACGAGGACGACGATCGCGCCCACGACTACGACGAGGCCGACAACGACGGCGACGACGACGGCGACATCTTCGACGACATCGGCGGCAGCGACGACGGCGACGACGGCGACGAGGGCGACGGCGGCGGCGGAGACCACACAGATGATGGCGGCGGTTGCCCGAGGGCTTGCAGGACGCCGCCCCGTCCTCACGAGGATGATCGCTTCGAATCGGCCAGCAAACCGGGCATGTCAGAAGGCCTCCGAACACACGCAGAGCACCTCCGGGCAGTAACGGCGACGGTGGCACCGATGGCGACAACAAACGACGGCAGCGGCGACGACGGCGGCGGCGACGACGAGGACGGCGACGGCGACGGCGACGGCGACGGCGACGGCGACGGCGACGGTGACGGCGATGGCGACGACGACTGCAGCCGCGACGACGACGGCGACTGCAGCCGCGACGGCGGCGGCGGCGACGACGACGACGACGACGGCGACGGCGACGGCGACGGCGATGGCGACGACGACGGCAACGGCGACGGCGACTGCAGCCGCGACGACGACGATGTCGAGGACGACAACGACGACGGCACCGACATCGTCGACGACATCGACGACGCGGCGACAACGGTTGCGACGAGGGCGGCGACGAGGACGACGAAGAGGACGGCGTCGACGGCGTCGACGACGGCGATGGTATCGTCATCGTCGACGACGGCGATGACGACGGTGGCGAAGACGCCTGCGACGGGGACGGCGACGAGGGAAAGCGGCGAGCAGGTGATGGCGCGATCGTCCTCGCTGGGCTCCAGCACGTTGTTGGCGTAGACCTGTCCCAGAGGAGGGGGCTCGGGCGCGGCATCGACTGCCCAAGACGGCGTCCTGCCGATGCTCGCCGAAGTGCGCCGCTCGCGGAAGGGTGAGGGCATCCGCAACCTCCGGACGCTCCGACGCTGTGGCAGGGAAGGCGCGGGCGGGTGAGCAGGAAGACAGATGGGGTGGAGGGGGGAGGGGGACGGGGAGAAGGCAAGATCCCAGATCGCCAAGGAACCCCTGGCGGAAGAGAACCCTAAGCAACAAGATCAACATCTATATATCTGTACATATATTCATAGAACACATGACGGAAATCCGGGAATAAGAGACCATGCGGGAGACCGTACGGGCTACCATGAGGGAGACCATACGGGAGACAATACGAAAGGCCACACGAGAGACCATACGGGAGACAATACGGGAGACCATGCGGGGTAACATACCGGGAGACCATACTGGAGACGGTACGGCAGACCACGAACCACCGATTCCAGATCCGGAGTGGCGCACACCCGGCCGTAGAAGAGATGTATAGTAGGACCTTCACAGACGAGCTGGCCATAATATTGACATGCATCTATGTAGTAGGCAGATACATACATACACACGTAGCACCCCGCAGTTGCGGATGAGAGTGAAGGGGGCGGCGCGGTCGTCGGCAGCCTTCGAGGCCTTGAAGAAGCCCGCCGCAGGCGCCGATTCATTGACGCATTGCACAACGAGCCCAGCGCAGGGTCCGAAGTTTCGTCAAAAGGCAATTTGAGTGGGTCGCGGGTGGGTCGCGGGGTGGGCCGCGCGATGAATGGCGGGGTGGGTCGCTGGCGGGTGGCGGGCGAGGACGACAATAACAACGCAACAACAGCAACAACAACAACAACACCAGAAACAACAGCAATCATTCAAACACTGTCCACTCTTATCTGCTCGTGTGCCAGTCAACAAGTATGTCCCAAACCCTCGATACCCGACCTCTTCGTCTTCGATCATAGCACCCTCGGGGGTGTATCTTTCTTACCTGCCGCGTGAACTTGGTGCAGCCCCTGAAGCAAGCGAAGAAGGGACGCATGGAGGGGAGATAGAGACGAATGGAGCATGGAGTTATCAGGAGAGGGGCTAGGAGCAAAAACCACGTGGCAGAGCCAGACGGGCAGATCGTGCGGGCAGACCCTAGCGGGCGGGTCGGGAAGGCGGGCCCAGGCGGCCAAGTCGAGCAGGCGGTATGCTGAACCGTGCGCTCTGCAAGAATCACGAGGATGTCTCAAGCGAGAGCGCGATTCCCAACTAAATCGTAAGAAATCCACAGCGAGACTGGTTCCTGAGTGTCCAGGGCGCGGCGTCTGAACTAATTGTAAGATTCCTGCGTAAATTGCAAGGAAGTCCCCAGCGAGAGCGCGATTCTTCAAACGAGTCTGGGGGGAGTCGCTGTTGTTGTAGAACAAGGGGCAAAGACACAATCCTGAGACCCAAAACGTTCCCTGATACAAAACAGGGTGCGATCCCCAGGAAAGGCACTTCAATTGAGAAACACCATGTGCCCCGGAGGGTGGGGGCTCAGCATAAATTATGTTCCAGGAAGAAGAGCTCAACAACAACAGCAACGACAACGCAGCAACAGTCTTCGCCGCAGATCCCCCCAGCCACGCGCCCAAGGAAACTGCATGACCGTTCGGCCCCCTGACTCTGATATATACAGAAGTATACGAATAGAAATGTAGCACCCTACTGTTGCGGATAAGAACGAGGGGTCGGATCGCGGGTGAGTCGCGATTGGGTCGCAGGTGGGTCGCCAGTGGGTCGCGGGCGGGTGGGTCGCGAGTGTGTCGCGGGTGGGTCGCGGGGTGTGTCGCGGGTGGGTCGCGGGGTGGGTCGCGCAGTGGGTCGCGGGGTGGCTCGCGAGGGGAACGACGATAACAAACGACAAGGCAAGAACAATCAGCACTGCGGAACCCAACTTCAACGACGCAACCAAGGACAGTGAATATCCGTTCGGCCCGCTATCTCTGATATGCACATTTACGCATACACAATCCTTGCAGACACCCCCACAAGGGACATTGTCCGCAAATTTCGGCCTCGTGAGGCCCTCATCCTTGTCTCGGGACCGTCAAACAACGGCATGGACGCGAAACTGGATGGGCAGGGAGAGGAGGAGCAGGTCTTCATGCATGCTGTAGCCAACTGGTTCCAGGCTGGCCAAAGCTGAAAAGATGTCTTTAGACGGTGCTTGCATAGTTGGAATGGGAGGGAAGCGGGGGGGGAGGAGGAGGTGGTGAAGGAACCTGTTCCATCATAAACATGATAAGACTGCCGATTCATAAACACTTAGCCGTTTAGCGCTCGGCGAGAATGTAATTAGCACCAGCGCCAGCGCCTCGAACAAAGTCCATGCACATGCAGACCACATGCAAATATCCGTTGCGTACGGCTGATTCAGTTTGGCCGTAGGATTCTGCCTGTGAAGCGAAGTGGCCAGGGGGGATTCATGAAGGGTATGGTGTCAAATCACCAGCAACCATGAACGCGAAGCTCATGCTTATTGTCAACGACATGTGTTGGGGCATTGCACTTGTTTATGCGCGGCGCTTGGCTGCTTCAACTTCAGCTTGGGATTCTGCATGTGAGTCGGGAAAGGTTTGGGGAGGTGCAGGGAGGGTGCAGAATCGAAAACGCCAACCAGAGCGATCAAAAGCACAGTGCTACTTGGTATTGCTGTTTCGCACACACGTCCTTAATGCGATGGATTCGGCTATTCCACCTTGAGCTTAAGATTCCGCATGAGTCGGGAGAGTGCTGGGGAGGTTAAGGGTGGCGTGATTTGGCATTACCTGGAATATTTGCCTGTCATTCCCAGACATTCTGTTGCATTGCTTGGCGCTGCTTTGCTTGGCACTACAAAGCATTGGTTGGGATTGGATTTGCATTGCTTGGCATTGTGTGGCGTTGCTCGGCAGTGCTTCGCTTTGCCCAGCGGTGCTTGGCCTTGCTTGGCGTTGCTTGGCATTGCTTGGAATCGCTGTTTGGCATTGCTTGCCTTTGCTTGGCACTGGGTGACCGGGCAATCTGGGCAACAGAACAACCACGAGCAAGATCTCCCACTAACGACGCCCGGCCCACCGATTTCTTAACAAACAAGTCGGACCCCCTGAGGCAAAGAGGCCATGAGGAGAAAGGCACAACACCAACGCAAAAGCAAATACTATCTTAGCGCGCTAGGCGTGCGTGCTGAGCAACAGAAGGTAGCCAAGCATCGCCATCGGCCACTAGGGGGGGGCATGCGGTGCTGGCCCAATGCTCTCGGATGGCACGGTGCTTCTGGTGGCGTCGCGGGGGCCGCCGCTGCCGCCTGATGGACTGGCAGGGCCCTGCTTCCACAGGAATCAGGAGGGCACTCGGCAGTCTGTCGATCGCGGGCGGCACGTCGGCGGACCCTGGTCAAACTACCAGACCCACGATGCCACTGCTGCGTCTCTCCAGAGCTCAGTACCTGAAAGCATCCACCGTCCGTCCGTCCGCCTCACGCGACCCTTGCGGAGAACGCGCGCCCGCTGAGACTGCTCACTTCCAGGTCCCCCGCGCTGACCTCCAGGCACGGATAGCTTTCGAACCGCACGCGGTGTGTGCGTGTGTGTGGACCAGTCGCCCCTATCCGCCAGCACAATGACTCTGCCTAGCCGCCGACGCAAAAGTGTGGACCAATCGTTTGGCTTTCGGGCTTCCGTTGACTTTGAGTTGAATTATCTCATCGTTTTCTGGCAGCTGCACGTTTCACTTGGACTCACAGGTCCCCTTCCACACCCATTGTTTGCATGTTGCGGTGATGCTGCTGGTGCGCCGCGCCATCGACAACGTCCGGTCGCAATTAGCACCTCCATCTTCTGCCCGCGCTTGGGGACCCTCTGCGCCGCCGGTTCAAAAACGTGTGTGGACAAGTCGCTGAGGACAAGGCCCACGCCCTTTGACCAAGACGATCCGTCCCGTTCGTGGCGTATGCGGGAGGCCTCAGGGTGGCCGGCGTCGGGGATCTTCTGACCCGGGTCAATTCAGACCCGGGTCAGTGAGGCCTTGCAGGATCCTGCAAAATCCTGCAGGATCCTGCACCCAAGCCCAGGTCAATGCGACCTGGCCCTGCAGGATCCTGCAAGATACGGCGCTCTGGCTGACCCCCGTTTGCATTGACCCCCGTCTCTGGAGCCCCGACGTCGCTGCCGCTCGGCGGCGTCGGCTCGGCCTCCATCCTCACGAGCCGCGCCCAGGTGTCCCAGGGCGCCGGCGGCGCTCTGGCCGTTCCCTGGCCCGTCGGCCTCTGTCACCGCTCCGTGAGACACCGTGCGCCAGGGCCGCAACAGGCGTCGGCGTGGGACCAGCAGGGGTGAAAAGTTCTGGCCGCTGCCAGCCCCTTTGCCCTGCCCCTTAGACTACAATTGCATACCACGACGGCCGAGCAAATGCGCGGAGGTAAAATTGTGCAGAGACCAATGGCAAACCGAAGTGCAACGGAAACGCAACACAACTGATAGCGCAACCAGCATGCTAGCTTGAAGACGCCACCACTCAGTTGCGTATTTGTACAAACAGATCGCTCGCAACGAACATATGTTTAATATGAGGCGTGTTAACACAGCGTTTGATATCAATCGCGATCACATCACGAAAGACGGCACGCCAAACGAACCAATAGCAACAGCACGACACAACAACGCTTCGGTGGATCAACTGCATCAACAAACATGTCCATTACCCAAGACCCAGATGAAATAATGGCTATGACAGGCATTTTGCGTTCCGCTTCGTACGATTCAGATACTGCGAAACATGCGGAGGGGTGGCGGAAGGCGGAGGATGGCTGTGGAGGGAGGGCAGGAGGAGGGGGGGATGCGCAGAGGGAGGGAGGAGAAGGAGGAAGAGGACGACGAGCCCATGCATGCTGGAGATACAACGGACGTGTCTTACCTGATGTCGGAGGGCGAAGAAGGGTAACCGGCAAAGGTGGAGGGAGGAAGAAGACAACCGAGGACGGAGGATGACGGAAGAAGCCTCGGAGGAGGGGGAAGGAGAGGAGGGTGGAGAAACGGATAGAGGATGGAGAAGGAGAACGGGATGAGGAGGAGGAGGAGGAAAGACCAATGTAAACTCAAGCTCCACCAACGAAGCTGTAATAACCCCTCTTTCCAAGTTCTCTCTTCATGAGCCAATCCCAGGGCGAAGCCGACAGCCAAGGCAAAGCCAAAGGCAAAAGCAAAGGCATCCACCAAAGCCTGGGCCATGTCTTCGCAGACAGGCAAAGGCAACAAAAAAGGGCAAGGACAACTATACAGGCAAAGGCACCTCACCGAAAGGCAAAGGACAGGTGGACAAAAGCAGTGGCAAGACAGGCAAAGGCAAGACAGCAAAACATGGTGGAAACAGGCAGTGGGGATAATCACCGTGAAGCCGCCCAATCGGCGGGCGATGGCAGAATTATTCAGACTCACTGCGCACTTATCGCACCATGATTGGTTGGGATTGTTCGATTATGATCAGTTGCGTGCTCGGCGAAGCACGTCGGAAAGAACCTGAACATCCCATGGCCAGTGGTGTGGCTCTTGGGCCGCTTCCACGGCAAACATCAATTCGCAGATAACATATTGCTTCGCCTGGAACAAATACGGGCTAGCATTTCCAGGTGTATCCACAAATTGAGGTGGCAGTATTTTTTTATGAGTGGCTTGCTACCCGATGAACCTCGTACTCTATTGTTTTTGCGGCCCGTCGAGAGTACACCACCATGCTACCACGAGACGCTTCCCTGGCAGATGAAGCACTGGACAGACAGACTGTACAGCATCGTTGTCAGGCAATGTTCTCGCACTTTGCAGCAGCACAGATCCACTTCCAAGAAGTTTGGTCTACCCTATCGCCTCTTGTGAAGGCTGCGTTTTTGCTAGTACGCACGTGCGGCGTCGTCCCAGTCAAGTGCGACAAGGACGGCGGTTTCGCATTGTTTTCTCATGTTGACTACGCGTGAGCAAAGAGCCACGCCATGTCACCAGCACATTATGACCACATTGGTGCTCTCAATGTCGTGGCGCAGCCAATCCAGGATCATTTCAACGTCCTTGTCAACAGGATTGCGACAGCCATGGGTGACAAATCAGCTGGCGCACGCATCCGGCGAGCGACACCGACCATCAGTTTCGAATCAATCGTGATCCCAACGCAAGCTACAGCCAAGACCCACAAACCTGCAGGGCGACTCCCCTTACGAGTCACACACTGCTGCCACAAGTACCCATTCAAAGCATTGGGCCAACGGGTGTCGCGGGCAATCTGGCCGTCTCTGAAATGCTACCCGCACATCCTCCGAGACACGCAGGATCTCATAGAGAAACTGCACGAAGTAATTATTGAACCTGGGGACATGTTGGTCAAAGCAGATGTCAAGGACTTCTACATGTCAGGCGACCAGAGAGTTCTAGCCGATGAGGCCTCGAAGCAAGCTAAATCACAATGTCGGGAAATAGTGCGGGATGTAATACTTTTCGTGCTGAGTAACCAGTATGTTGATTATGATGCCGAGTCAGACGCGGTGTATAAGGTGAAGGTGGGCTTTGGGCAAGGCCTCAACATGTCGGGGGACATCGCCGACGCAGCTTTCTTGGCCACTTGCGAGCTCAATTTCACCCTTAAGCCAGGCAGCGCGGAAAAATATGGCATCAAACTCTGCACTCGCATGAAGGATGACATCTTTGTTATTTTACGGAGAGCAGATTGGAGATTCGCCTTCCGCCCGCAGTGGGAGGAGGCCATACGCCATTCCAGCTCCATCATCGATCAATGGGAAGCGTCTTTCACAGAAATGGACGTTCTAGACCTTCATGTGGAAATCGTGGAAGGCGACACCAGGCTACATGACTGTACGTACTTCAAGCCGACATCATTGGGAGTCCCCCTGACGCATTGCAGTGCTCATCCGAAGGCGGTATCTGAGGCATGGCCTCTGTCACAGGAGCGGCGCTTGGCATGCAACAACTCCCATGTACAGTACTTCCGGGAGGCAAAATCAGTTCTCATAGAGCGGCTCATCCGAGCGAATGCTCGGATCTCCGCTCTTCGCAGAATCAGGGATTACCATCCTTTCCCGAAGAAGCAAAGAGGAAGTGCACGCGGCAACCCAGATCATAACAATAAGGCTCGCTGGATTGTTCTCCCGAGCCACCCTTTTTGGCACAGAGCGTGCATCCTGCCTGTCCTGGACAACTTTGTCAGGTCAGAGTGGTCAAATCAGCTACTGTGCGGTCTGGGACTGCACGCGCGGGAGTGGCTCCAAACGAGTTTCAGCATAGCTTGGAGAAATTCGCTTCCAACTCTGAATGCACGATTTCAGAAGGCTGGTAGGTTGGGGTGGGGAGGATCAGCAAACAAGCAAACGTTTCTCCTGTGCTCAGCGTACAGCATATCGGCTCAGCGGTGAGGGCGGCCGTAAACATACAATATAATTGCGTCTTGATTTGCACTGTCGTCACACATCGGGCGGAGTGGGTGGCGGAAGGCGGAGGAGGGATGTGGAGGGAGGGCAGGAGGAGGGGAGGATGCGCAGGGGTAAAGGGAGGAGAAGAAGGAGGAAGGGGACGACGAGCCCTTGCTTGCTGGCGATGCGGCGGGCGTGTCTTACCTGATAGCGGAGGGCGAAGAGCGGTAACCAGCGAAGGTGAAGGGAGGAAAAAGAGAACCGAGGACGGAGGATGACGGAAGACAGATGACGCAGGAGAAGACGAGGAGACACAGCGTTACGCAAGGAGCATGCAGAGAGGAATAAGTAGGAGAAGCCCTCTGATCCCTCCCAAGCCTCGGAGGAGGGAGAGGAGGAGGGTGGTGGAACGGATGATAGGGGAGGTCGGACAGTATGGAGGATGGGGAAGGAGAACGATGGGTGATGATGGTGAGGAGGAGGAAAGACCAATGTAAACCCAGGCTCCACCAACGAAGCTGCAATAACCCCTTCCTCCAAGTTCTCTCTTCATCGGCCCCCATAAAAGGTACATTTGTTATGCGGAAGCCGCCCCAATGGAAGACAACCGTCTGAAAATCTTCGATTGTGCCAAAGCACCATACTTTGGACTCCAACGCCACGACTGTCACTGTTACGACCAGGCGATCCAGTAATCGTGCCAGAACACCGTTCCTGGGACGTTAACACCGTGAATCAAAGTGACTGCCGCGCCATGGCAATCGTAAGCCGTGCCAAAACATCAGGTCTGGGACGTCGAACATAGTAATCCTTGACCGGTTGTAAAACGTAAGCATGAATGTGCGTGGTGCTCAGGCGAGAACCACATGTTGGAAATGTCCCGCCCTCCATCCGAGAGACTCTTGCAAACATTTAAAAAGAAGGTGCGCGGCGCTAAGACGAGAGTCACATGTTGCAAAACACACGCCCTCCATCCATGAATCTGATGCTAATTCCAAATTGCAGGAAGCCTCAAGCGAAACGCCCAGCCCGCCTTACCGATCCGTGCTGGGGAGCGGCAGGGCGGAGTTATTGATAAGGAAAAGGGACGGAGACAGAGGTGAACGGATAACGAGCAGGATGACGATGACGACGCCGAAGACGAAAACAGCGCCGCCGCCCACGACGGCGGCGGCGGCCGACCTCGGGGTACTGCAGGCGAAGGAAGCTGAAGACGATGAGGCAGCCGAGCAGCACCAGGCAATTCGTCACCAGGGCGCTCTTGAAGACGTGCATGTCGCCCTGCGCCCCGGCACAGGACTCCTCTTAGGAGGCAGCTCCTTGGAGGTCTTCGTGGAACCGAGAAGGGCTACGTATTCCGATGGAGAGGCCACGAAACCGCTCTGCGCCACATCAGGCCCGAGTAAAGGGGATTCAGCGCGGTCGAGCCAGAGTAGGACGGGTTCCAGTCGAGGGTCTATCAGTGCCGATGCTGAGTTGCACCTCCCAGGGGTGTTAGAACTGAGCTCCTCCATGCTGCTGCTCACAACACAGACATCTCACGACTCGGGAAACAGACTTCGGACCACGATGTCCGAAGACTGTGGGACTGCTTTGGTGTATACTAATTGTTGATGGGATCGAACTGTCTTCGGGCCCTCTTGGGCATCGTCGGGCGCCCTGGTGGGCTCGGCTGGATCCGTCGTGTAATCGTGGCTCTAGTGCACCCCGTGCCAGGCTTTGGGACTCAGATGTGGTTCTTATGCGTTGGGGTTGGATGGGTAGTCCTCCAACATCTTGACAACAATGACGCGGCATCTCTCTCTCTCTCTCTTGCTATGTTTCCCAAATCAGAGCTTGCCACTATAGGGGCCCTAGCAGATTTATATGGTCAGGTGAGGTTGGGCGCCGATTTCGGCGGCACGCCCGGGTGCTGGGTGCCCATGTGCCCAAGTGCCCAGGTGCCTGGGTGCGCAGGTGCCTGGGTGCCCGGTGGCCCTATAGCCTTATAACCCTATAGCATTATAGCCTTGTAGCCCGATAGCCTAATAGCCCTCAGCCCTTATATCTCTATAGCCCAATCGCCCTATAGCTCTATAGCCACACAACCCTATAGCCCTATAGCTCTATAGTCTTGTGGCCTTATAGCCTTATAGCCTTATGGCCCTGTAGCCCGATAGCCCAATAGCCCGATACCCCTATAGCCTTATAGCCTTATATCCTTATAGCCCTATAGCCCTTATAGCCCTCTTGCCCCATAGCCGTATAGCCCTAACAAACATATGATTGTGTTTTCTTTATCCGGTATATGCCTCTCTCCCTCTCGTTCCATCTCTCTCTCTCTCCATATGCAAACATATACTTCTATATCTATATGTATGTATATATGTATATATGTATGTATCACCCCGCGCTTGCGCATCAGAGTGAGGGTACGGGTGCGGGGTGGGTCGCGGGTGGGTCGCGGGTGGGGCTCGGGAGAGTCGCAGGTGGGTCGCGGGTGAGTGGCGGGCGGGTCGCGGGCGGGTAGCGGGTGGGTCGCGGGCCAAGTCGCGAGTGGGACGACAACAACTACAACACCAATCATTTTCAAGACTGTTCGCTCCTATCTGCTCGCGTACCTTTCAACACGTATAGGTTCGTGGTCTTCGTCTTCGATCGTACCCCCTTGGGAGTATACCTTCTTTGCCTGCCACGTGCATGTAGCGCAGCCCCTAAAAAGGAGGAGAGGACGGATGGAATGGGGAGGGAGAAGGATGGAGCACGAGGGAAATTAGTATGAGGGGGGCTAGGAGCGGAATGCACGTGGAAGAACCAGGTGGGCAGATCGGGCGGGCAGACCCTAGCGGGCGGGTCGGGAAGGCGGGCCCAAGAGGCCAGGTCGGGCAGGCGGGTTGCTGAAGCGTGACCCTGCATGAATCGCAAGGAAGTCTCGAGCGATAGCGCGAATGGCCAATGCGAGAGCGTGATTCCTGAGTGTCGAGGGCGCGGCGTCTGAGTACATTGCGAGGAAGTACCACGCCAGAGCGCGAGTCCTGCATACATTGTAAAGGAGAGCCGCGCGAGAGCGCGATTTTGGAATGTAAGCAAGCATCCGGAGGAGCCGTTGTTGTTATTGTATTTCGGAGCCCAACAGCGCAGTTAGAGCACGCCGGATTTCCCCGCTTAAAAGGGGGTGCGAGCCCCGAGGGGGGCACGTCAATGGAAAAATCAATGTGCACCTGCGGGTCGGTGGCGGGTGGGTCGCGGGTGGGTGGCCGGCGGGTCGCGGGGTGAATCGCGGGTGGGTCGCGGATGGGTCGCGGGTGGGTCACGGGGTGTTCGCGGGTGGGTGGCGGGTGAGTCGCGTGTGGGTCGCGGGTGGGTCACGGGTGAATCGGTGGGTGGGTCGGTGGGTCGCGGGTGGGTCGCAGGTGGATCGCGGGTGGGCCGCGGGTGGATCGCGGGTGGAACGACGACAACAGCTACGCAACGTAACAACAGAAAGCATAATCAGAGCCGCGGGGTCCACTTCAGCCACGCTTCCAAGGGCACTGATTGACCGTTCGGCCTCCTCACTTTGATAACCTGTGTCACTTAGGCGCCTGCGGCGAGCTACTTCAGAGCCTCGCAGACTGCCGACGTCCCCGCCGCCCCCCTCACTCTCATCCGCAAACGTACAAAGAGCCCGCCGCAGACGCCGATTCACTCTTAAAAGCAATGTGTGTGGGTCGCGGGTAGGTCGCGGGGTGGGTCGCTGGTGGGTCGCGGGGTGGGTCGCGGATGGGTCGCAAGTGGGTCGCGGTTGGGTCGCGGGTTGGATCGCGGGTGGCTCGCGGACGGGTGGCGGATGGGTGGCGGGTGGGTCGCAAATGGGTCGCGGGTGGGTCGGTGGGTGGGTCGGTGGGTCGCGGGTGTGTCGCGGGTGTGTCGCGGGTGGGTCGCGGGCGGGTCGCGGGAGGAACGACGACAACAGCACCGCAACGCAACAACAGCAAGCATAATCCACGCCGCGGAGCCCCACTTCAGCCACGCTTCCAAGGGCAGTGATTCACCGTTCGGCCTCCTCACCTTGATAACCTGTGTCAATTAGGCGCCTGCGGCGAGCTACTTCAGAGCCTCGCAGACTGCCGACGTCCCCGCCGTCCCCTCACTCTCATCCGCAAGCGTACAACGAGCCCGCCGCAGGCGCCGATTCACTCTTAAAAGCAATGTGTGTGGGTCGCGGGTGGGTCGCGGGTAGGTCGCGGGGTGGATCGCGGGTGGGTCGCGGGGTGGGTCGCAAGTGGGTCGCGGGGTCGCGGGTGGGTGGGGGGTTGGGTCGCGGGTGGCTTGCGGGTGGGTGGCGGACGGGTGGCGGGTGGGTCGCAAATGGGTCGCGGGTTAGGTCGCGTGTGGGTCGCGGGTGGGTCGTGGGGTGGATTGCGGGTTGGATTGCGGGGTGGGTCGCGGGATGGGTCGCGTGTGGGTCGCGGGTGGGTCGCGGGTAGGTCGCGGTTGAGTCGCGGGGTGGGTCGCGGGTGGGTCGCGGGTGTGTCGCGGTTGGGTCGCGGGCGGGTCGTGGGACGACGGCAAGCACAACAACGCAACGCAACAACAGCAAGCATAATCCACGCCGCGGAGTCCCACTTCAGCCCCGCACCCAGGGACACTGAATGACCGTTCGCCCCCCCCCCTACTCTGATGCTGTTGCCCATAACACAGATATGTGAAAATGAGCTTACACGTCGTTCAAGTATTTCTAAGTGTGCTCGTTTCTGATTGGTATTGGCCCCCTAGTGGCCAGGAAGAGGCCCAGGATGGAACAAATAGAAATGAAATGATCCTGGCACCCAAAAAATCAAAGAACTTGCGAATACTTAGAAATGCGCAATGTGTATGTTTACACACATTGCATAACACATATGGCTAGAATACACGCTACTTTGGGACCACGCTGGCTACCACATGAAATCAAACATGTAAATCTATGGATGTGTCGCCACATCTGGTGTCCTCATGCCGCCTCTGGCCCTGCAAGGGCGTTGAAACAAGAGGTTCGGATAAACAACTTGTTTTTGAGGAAGGGTTCTGTGGGGGGGGTAGAGCAGGATAGCGGGAGGAAGGTCCAGGTGGAGGCCATGCCTCAAGCGGTCGAAGGGTCCTGAGGGCCCACGCATCGAAACAATCGAGCCGTCGGGCGTCCGGGCGATACTGTACCGCTTCTTCATCTCTTCCCCAGCGATCCTCCCTCCCTCCCTCCCTTCAGACCAAGCCAGAACGAAGGGTGAGGATAAATCGAGAGTCTGTGAGATCTGGCGGCCCTGGAAGATACGTATCTCGGGCGCCGTGGCCTTTTGCGAACGTTCTGGAACGCTTTGAGGGCGTTCCGGAAAGCTCTGGAACGGATTTGTCCTCGTCCTGGCCCCGCCGGATCCCTCCCCCCTCCCTTGCTCATCTTGCAACTCCGTCCTGCTCCTGCTGCTGCTCCTCTTGCTGCTCCGCTGCCTCCTGCTGCTCCTCACCCTGCTGTGCCGCCTCCTCTGGCAGCCGTCGAGCACGTGATGCCGCTCCTCTTCAGACTGCTCGTCATCCTCCTGTTCCACCTCCTACTCATGTTGCTTCTTTCTCCCACTCCTCCTCAAAGAAAGCGCCCTTGGTCTGGACAACTGCCACCCGGATCGTTACTGTCATGTCCGAGTTTGCCCTCCTCCTTGCGATCCTCTACTCCGTCTCCTGGTCCTGCTCCTCCTGCTCTTTTCCCTCCGAATCCTCCTTTTCTTCCTCCTCCACCTCATTGTCTTCGCTATTCCTTCTTATGCATCCCTTCCTCCGCCTCTTCCTGTTCCTTTCTATCTGGACCCGCCCTCTTCTCCTGCTCGTGCTGCGGCTGCTCCTCCAACTCCTTCTGCAACGTGGCATCCTTCAGTGCCCCCACCCAAACTCTTGCTCCTCCTCCAAGCTCTTGCTCCTACACCTCCGCCTCATCCACACTCTTGCTTCTCCTCCCCCCTCTTCCCGCCCCCATCTCGAGAGGCCTCCCTTCTCCAACCTTCCCTTACCCCCCTCTCGCCGCGTCCAGCTGCGCCGACAGCGTCCAAAGCGCACGCCGTAACGCACTCGACCGCCATGTCGACTCGTCCGACACCCATTCGTCGTTCGAGAGACCGTGCCGTCAGGAGGCAGGGAACGCGGCTCTGTTCCACGAGGCCAGGGCGTGCGTCCACGTGTTGGCCTAGGTGCGTTCCCAACTTCCGCCTGCAACGGACGTCCCGCCAGTTCGCGGCCCGCTGTTTCTGCGCATCCATTCCCCGCCTGGTCCTGAATAGAATATTGAATCTACAGCGCGAAGCGCACGAAGGCTCAACGCAAGTAATCCTGACGATACGCGCTTGCCAAGAGTGAAGAGGCGTGTGAGATGTGTGGCTGTCCCTCTCTTTTTTCAACTTCCCAGGGGGTCCAGAATCTGGTGGTGAAGGGAGAGTCGGTGGGGGGGGGGAGGCGAGCTCATCAACGCAACGGTGGGGCCCTCGGAGCATTCGAATCCACCCTGTGTGGCTTCCAAGGTGCCCACGGTGCCTTGCGAGAGGGATCAACACGAGCTCCGACGCGCCAGAGGGGCCCGAAGAACACTCACAGAGGACCCCGAGCTTTCCCAAGCGGGGGGCCTCGCAGAGGGGCCGCGACCCCCCCCCCCACACAGGGTGGCCCCCAAATACCTCCAGCGTGCGCACCGAGAGGCCCCCAAGGCCCAAGATGCTCCCCAGAGGCCCCAAGCTTACCCGAAAGCGGACGCGGGGGCCTTCAAGGCTCCGAAGAGGCTGCCCTCGAGTCCTCCGAGAGGCCCCCTAAGAAACCCCGCAACAGACGCGGAGGAGGAGGAGGAGGAGGAGGAGGTGCCAGCACACACTGCACGCAAGCAGCACGACGGGAAGCGGCACCAAAAACATATACAAGATCGGAAGCTGCACATCTGCTGCTTTGGGGTCGGCGGAGTGGAGTGAGCTTCTTGAGTGCCAAGACGGCGAGAAGGACTATCGAATGGAGTGTTCGAGATGAGTACAGAGAGGGTGGCACAACGACGCGCAAGCATACCAAAACTGGTCCCGGGCACAGAGTGGAACACGGGCGACAGACAAGCCACCTTGTCGTTGAGCCGCATGCCCACTTTGAGCAACATCTGCGTCTCCGTCTCGTTTTTCATCACCGCCGCAGTCTTCTCGACCTTAACGGTCAGGCTCATACGTGTCCTCCTTCTCGTGCAACTCTGTCTGGTCCGCCAAATTTCTCATCCACCTCCTCCTCCTCCTCCCAATTACCCCATCCTTCGCACACTCCTGATCGACATGATCTTCCCCTCCCCCTCCTCTTCCCCTTGCTCCTCCCCCTCATCGCTCTCCCACGGATGAAATTACCAGTTGACGAACAGCGTTGGCATATTCTGACAGGTACCGTCTCGTGCTCCCCCCAAGGGCTTGGCAACGAGGCGACAGGTTCGGTTTCAGTCCGTGGGATCCCCATGGGCGCAGGACCAGAACATGCAGCTGAGCAGCTTCAGGTTTCACAAGGTCTGGACACGCCCACATACGATAGTGCGCGGCCGAGCATGACCGTCGCTGCACGTGGGCGCGAGGTCATGAATCGAGTTGAGTTTGCAGCGCTGCTGCCACCGTTTCAGCAAGCTTCCAGGTCGTGGCTTGAACCTGCTAAGCAGCTGTGCGCGAGCAAAGGTAATGCTGCACAGGAGCTGCCTGGAATCTGCGAGGCGCCGTGCACGAGCACGAAAAGGCGATCGCTGCCCGGGCGCTGCCCAGAGACCGCGAACAAGCCAAGTACTGGCTCTGCCTGGGCGCCGCGCGCGAGCCTGGGAAACATTGCTCGGGGACGGCAACGCCTGCGGGACACGCTGCCTGGTCTAGGAGCTCGATGCGACGCCCACTCACCGGCAGCAGTGGGAATGCAGCTGGCTAGCCCAGCAGGCTGCCCTCTTCTCCGGAACTCTTTTCGGAGCTATCTGGGAACTGGTGCGGTCTCAGACACGGATAGCAGAGCAGCCTTGGGATTCGATCCAAGTGTCGCGGTATTGACCGCCCACCGCCGTACGCGGCTGTGCATAACTGTCGCTGGAAGTGAGCGCACGGCCGTAAAATAAGATTGCGGCACTGGATAATGCAGCGCCCAGACGGAAGGAGCATCGCAGACTCTGCGGGAGGGTGTCCAAGGAAGCATTGATGCACTGGGAGACGGAAGCCCCACCTGAGCTTAAACCACCCTCTGACGTCCGTATGGGTGCATGCACATGCGCGCAGAGACTGGACCGACGCACGCCGTTAGCTGCCTTTTCAACCGACTCAAACGACTCAATCGCACGATGGACTCAACAAAAAGCGTCGCCTCCACCTCCATCCGACAGCTGGCTGCATGTTGCGCACCTGCGACTGCACCTGCTCCTGAATATCCGGCTGCTGCTGGGGTCCAGCAGGATACTCGTAGGCCCTTAGGCCCCAGGAGGCACCCTGGCCCTGAAGCAGCGGCATCTTGCTCTGGAGTATCATATGAGAGACCAACTCCCCCCTCTGGCCCAAAACCTGTGCAACCGCGGATTTTATCTGGCTCGCAGGGTATCCACAGGTGCTTGTCGAAGGTAACCATTCTCATCGGCAACCGAAGCAAGCTCCAGATGGCCAGGGGGAAGCGTCACGAGAGAGTCCAGCTTGTCATGACAGGAATCAAGCCTTGCTGTGCGCGTAGAGTGCCCATCTGCTAGGAAGAACTCGGCGAGTTGCACATCCACTTTGCTAACCTTCCGCGATGACCAACGCGCCATTTGAACGAGACGATATCAACGCTGGGCAGGGGTAAGGGGAGACGTCTTCTTCTCACGAGCTGCGACCAACTCAGCCTGCATACTATGATGCGTCTTGGACCTGCATTTCGGAGGGAAGACTAATGCGGCTATCCGTCAATTTGGCCTTATCAGGAATGTCCGCTCCGGATAGCGTAGCCTCTGGCTCATCATACTTGTCCATGAATGAGCTCATACAGAGGAGGCCAGTCCACAAGAAACCTTCCATAAGAAACCCCACCCTGAGACCCCAGGACGTCCATGGATTTTTGGTGTGGGAACGTCACGCTGTCCACAGCAAAACCATCGAAACCCAAGACACTCAGGGCACCCTGGAGGCAAGCAGGGTGTTTCTTGGCATGGGCCCCCACTGTACTCCTCCCAAGGACGAGGAGAGAACTGACCATCATTGTCAGCACCTGCTCGCAATCGTCGGCATCGACGCATCGATCAAGGACGCCCCCTCCGCCAGGGGAGCGGGGACTCGGTCTTCGAGAGGGACTGGGACGACGACGGCCCGGAACCATATACCTGCAGCGGCTGTTGGCGCTCCGCGCGGGTTTCTTGGATCTGCGCCGGACCCCCCCTCCCTGGCGCGCGGAGCCAAGACATCCGCGCGGAGCGCCAAGAGTTTCTGTTTATAGCGATTTTTCTTCTTCGATTTTGCCGCGCCTCTCGGGCTGCTCCTCGGCTTCGGGCACGCGGTCCTGGCGGCGGCCTTCTACAGGCGGGTTTTGGACGAGAAACCAAAACATAGCAACATCAGATGCGAAACTGGACGAAGATGGACCGGACATCGTCCCCTAACTACCTTCTCCTATGTTTGACTCCTCCTCCTCCTCCCCCTCCTCCTCCTCCTCCTCCTCCTCCTCCTCCTCCTCTTTCTCCCCCTCCTCCTCCCCCTCCTCCCCCTCCTCCTCCTCCTCCTCTTTCTCCCCCTCCTCCTCCTCCTCCTCCTCCCCCTCCTCTCCCTCCTCCTCCTCCTCCTCCTCCTCCTCCTCCTCCTCCTCCTCCTGTGGAGGGACGGGCCCGACTCGACCCCTGCCTCCGCCGCCCCTCTCCGGGCTGCTCCTCGGCTCCCGGGCACGCGGCCCCTGGCGGCGGCCTCCGCTGCCCTGCCCCACACGGCGGCGCGAGGGGAGGGCCGGCGGCCAGGGACGCCGCTGTGGCAGCACGGAGCTTTGGCTCGGGCTGGCCCTCCCGCAGGTGGATTTTTAACCAGAGATCCAACGCATTGAAAAGATCGAGACGGAGGTTCTGCAAAGTGTTTGGCCTCTAGGGGCCCTCGCCGGGCCCCAGGACCGTCAAAACATGACTCAGGACGAAAAGCCGGTCCCGGGGAAAGGGTCGGGATTTCCAGGGAGCACGTATTGAAACAATCAAGACATCGGATGTCTGGGTAGGGGAACAAAAAGTGACTCCGGGAGTGGGGTCCAGCGCCGATCCGAGAAATCCGCGCGGACCTCCGAGTTTTTATGTTTATGCCACTTTTTGTTCCCCTAATCTTGGACGCAGAATAAATCGGATCCCAAACATACCCCCAAACAGCTCAAAAATACTGAGGAGAACCAGCCTCAGACTATTTCTGAAACTATGTTTGAAGATTCCTCCTGCAGAGGGGCATGCCCGACTTACTGCTGCCCCTGAGCCTCCCCCCAAGCAAGCCGAGCAGCGGACGAAGCCGTGCGCCGAGTGAAGCATGTGCTTGATGTTCTTGTCTCCTTGGCATTGGGCGTCGCTGGCAATGGGGGGGGCGATAAATGTGAAGGGGCCCTGGGAAGCACAAATAAATATACACAACAGGATTCCCTATATTTTCGTACATTTTCCGGGTTCTTGTCTTCCCCCCCACTTCCCCCTGGGGATCGACGATCAATTGTGTCTGTGTGTTTTTTCCCCTCCTGAAAATGGTGGGGGGAAGAATGGTGACTCCTCGGGCCCCATAGAGGGCTCCTTTTCTGCAGCCCTCGCTGGGCCCCCCATGTGTCTGTGCATGTCAGCGTGGCGTCTTTCGTGAAGGCTCCCGCGAACGAGAGCTGAACGGTTTCTTCCCCTTCCCCTTTCCCTCCCCCTTCCCTTCCCCCCTCCTGCTCCCGCTCCCGCCTGCCCGTGGAGAAGTCCGTGCACGACGATCGCATAGTCGCCCGGGTGCCGGAGGCACCGGCCAAGATTCTCCCACCGAGGTCTAGATTGGCACGGCCTTCGGGCCGACGGGGAGCAGCGTAGCGTGGCACGACGCCCAGTGGCAACGCTTCCAGTGTGTGTGTGTGTGTGTGTGTGTGTGTGTGTTTTTCCAAGTGTGTGTTTTTTCCCACAGTGAACGCTTCCAGTGTGTGTGTGTGTGTGTGTGTGTGTGTGTGTGCGTGTGTGTTTGTTGTTTTTGTGTATTTTGTGTGCTTGTTCCCACAATGTGTGTGTTTTGTGTATGTGTGTGTTTGTGTGTGTCTTTTCCCGCAGTGTGTGTGTGTGTGTGTGTGTGCGTGTGTGCGTGTGTGTTCCACGTGTGTGTGTGTGTTCTTCCCCACAGTGTGTGTTTTTGTTTTTGTGTGTTGTGTGTGTGTGTTTTCCCTACAGTGTGTGTGTGTGTGTGTTTGTGTGTGTATGTGTGTTTTTCCCACGGGGCGATGCCGCGGACGCGACGTGCTGGCATCGGCGCAGCGCCGCCGCCACCGCCCCAGCACGTGCGGCGCCGCCCTGCGGGGAGCGCGGCGGGAGCCGGCCCAGCAGCGGCAAGGGCAGGAGCCAGCGGTGCCCCAGAAGGGACCACCGAGGCGACCCCGGAGGGACGCCAGGAAGCCCCAAGAAGGCTGCAGGAGTAGGGGACCGAAAAATGCATAAACATAAAAACTCGGAGGTCCGCTGGACCCCCTGGCGGCGCCTCTGGCGCCGCCCCTTGCGCGCTCCGCGCGCCAGGGAGGGGGGTCCAGCGCCGATCCGAGAAATCCGCGCGGACCTCCGAGTATTTCTGTTTATGTCACTTTTTGGTCCCCTGGCATGGGGGGCCCCAGGAGCGCGCCCTCGCGAGGGGAGGCGCAGGCGCGGCCTGGCCAGTGGCCGGGGGATGGTGCGGCAGCGTGCCCAGGCCACGCGCTCGCGGCCCGCCGTCGGCTCTCGGGCCCCGGGGGCCTGGCATGCCGGGGGGGTGCTCGGGGCGATCCCGGCGGCCCCGGAGAGCTCTCCGCGAGGCGCGGCTGCCGGAGAGGACCCCCCCCCCCCTCCCCTGAGCAACCGCGGCAGGCCCGGGAGCCGCCCGAGAGCCACGGAGAGCCCGCGGAGGCCTCGGAGGGGAAGGCTCGTGCTGCTGTCGCCGCGCCGCGGAGGCCGCGCAGCGGTGGCGCGCGGCGCGGCGGCGCCCTCCATCGGACGCGCAAGGACACACTGGTACTAGATTTAGGTCGGGCATGTCCTCCTGCAGGCGGATTTTGGACGAAAAATGAAAAATACGCAAAAACATGCAAAAATAATAAAACAGTCGTCCCCTGACTAATGTTTGACTACTTTTGAATATTTCTCCAGTAGAGGACGTGCCCGACTTAATACAACATGTCCACCTTGGCGGCGTGCGTCCATCCCGAGAATGCAGTATACGTGGCCATCCTGTACAACTACATCGTTTCCCGAGCGGGAATGGCCAGAAGCGCCCGCAGCGGAGCGTATACTGTAAGATGTCTCGGCGCGCGCGTCGCCCCTGTAGTCGTAGTAGTCGTAGCAGCAGCAGTAGCAGTAGTAGTAGAAGTAGTAGTAGTAGTAGTAGTAGTAGTAGTAGTAGTAGTAGTAGTAGTAGTAGTAGTAGTAGTAGTAGTAGTAGTAGTAGTAGTAGTAGTAGTAGTAGTAGTAGTAGTAGTAGTAGTAGTAGTAGTAGTAGTAGTAGTAGTAGTAGTAGTAGTAGTAGTAGTTAGTAGTAGTAGTAGCAGTAGCAGTAGTAGTAGTAGTAGTAGTAGTAGTAGTAGTAGTAGTAGTAGTAGTAGTAGTAGTAGTAGTAGTAGTAGTAATAGTCATAGTAGTAGTGGTAGTTGTATGCTGGGGTGACGCCGCTCCAGACAAGGACCCCCCCCCCACGCGCGAGACCCTCCGAGGGCGACCCCCCCGCGGGAATGCCGTCCTGCGCCCGCCGGCGCCGTCGGCGCGGCGGTGGTGCGCGGCGCGACGACGACCTGCAGGCAACGCCAAGTCGGGAATCACCACCCCAGAACCCCGGTAATCCAGTCGATGAGACCAAGCCAGGACGAGGATGCGGGTGACGATACATCGAGAATGTCTGAGACCTGGTCGCTCTGGAGGATGTATGAGGCGCCGCGGCCTTCTCGAAGCGTTCCTGAACGCCCTGAGAGCGTCCCTGAACGCTCTGGAACGGATCTATCCTCGTCCTAGCACCGTCCAGCTCAATGTCAGTATATCAGGATGGAGTTCAAGGACGTAAGACCATTGGAACGGCGCCGCAGCCAAGGATGTGCGCGCCCTAACGTAATTAGGATGGTCGCGAGACAGGCAAGTCCTTAACGCCAAATTTGCTGCATGCCTTTGGTTAGCCCGGGCGTTTTTCCCTGATTCTGGCCTCCGGGCCTTTTCTCGGGCCCCCCGCGACCACCAAATCTTTGTCCGAAGCGCAAAACAACACAGACCCCCGACGTCGTGATTTTGTTCACAACGTCGGCCCTCAGGGGTCTGGACCCCTTCCCTGACTGGCTTCTCGTCCCGGGTCGTTTGTTGCCGGTCCCGAGGCCCTGCAAAGGCCTCCAAAGGCCGAACATGGCGACAAACATCCCGTCGTGATTGTTTCCACGACGCGAGGGGGTCTGGGTAACCCCCTGGGAGGTGGGTCGGAAACTCTGAGGCCGCGGATCGGACGAATGATATTGGCGGAGGCCTGGGACCACGTGAAGGGGTCCGCCGCCTCTTGGAAGCACCGTTGAGGGGACCCCTGGGGCCCTCCGTGCAGAACCTCTGTCAGGCGCCCCAGGATCGACCCGAAGCCGCCGTTCGACGCCTCGATCCTCGGGAGGCGCTGGCGACACCCCCCCCACCAGTGCCCTGGCGGCGAGTCCCCTTGGCAACGCCTGAGACCTGGAGGAGGAGAAAGAGGAAGAGGCGGAGGAGGAGGAGGAGGAGGAGGAGGAGGGGGATGATGATGAGGAGGAGGAGGAGGTGGAGGAGGAGGAAGGTGACGATGAGGATGAGGAGAAAGTCGAGATTGAAGGAGAAGGAAAGAAGTGAAGGATAAAGGAGGGAAATGGACAGAGGAAAGGAATACAATGAGACGGTGGAGGAGGAGATGGAAGAGGATAAATCACGGATCATGCGGAGGATATATGTGTAGCAGGTGGAGGGCTAGAAGGAGGAGGAGAAGGAGGAGGAGGAGGTGGAGTAGAGGAGCAGCTGCAGTGGTGGCTTGCGAGAATGAAGCAGGGAGGTATATGAGGAGAGAGGTAGAGAAGAATGACGAAGAGGGGAAACGAGGGGAGAGGATGATGAAACAACGGAGATGAGAAGCGGTAGCAGGAGGAGGCGAATGATGAGGCTGAGGAAATCGAGGTATGGAGGTGGACCTGGAAGCCGTACTCGTCGTTCATCGCCCTGGCGTCGTGGGCGGCCTGCTCGTCGTGCAGGTCTCGCTGCGGCCCTGCGCGGCCGCCGACCCGCCCCCCTCCCCCTCCCCGCCAGGCGGCGAGGCGAGGGAGCCCGAGCGAGCGCGCTCGTCCTGGCAGCCGCGCAGACATCCGAAGGATCGCTGCTTCGGTCCGAGAGCGTGTCCCTCACTGCGGCCCCCGTGGGGCCCGCTCTGCGCTCCCGGGGGGCCGGAGTGGTCGGGAGGTCTGCGGCCGCGGGGCGGCCAACCCGTGCGCACACGGGGCCGCAAAAAACGCGTGAGGGGTGAGCCGACGTGGGCCCGAGTCACCAGGCGGGCGCAGCCACTGGGGCCTCGGGTGGAGCTCCCTGCGGGGCCGCGAAACGTGGGAGGGGTCATCATGTGGACGCTGCCACTGGGGCCGTCGGTGGAGGTCCCCATGGGGCCACGGAGCGTGCGACCGGTGTGCCGATGTGGGCCGGAGTAACCATAAGGACGCAGCCACTGAGGCCTTCGCTGGAGCTCGCTAGGGGCCCACGAAGCGTGTGAAAGGTGTGCCATAATGGACCCGAGTGACCATGCGGATGCAGCCATTGGGGCCTTCGCTGGAGCTCCCTACGGGCCCACGAAGCGTGTGAGGGGTGTGCCAGAATGGACCCGAGTAACCATGCGGATGCAGTCATTGAGGCCTTCGCTGGAGCTCCCTATGGGGCCACGAAGCGCGTGAGGGGCGTGTTAGAATGGACCCGAGTAACCATGCGGACGCAGGCGCTGGGGCCTCCGCTGGAGGTCCCTATGGGGCCGCGAAACGTGTGAGGGGTGCTCCAGGCTGGGCCCCAGAGGAGGAAAAGGAGAAGAAAAGGAGACGAGGTGGAGGACGAGTCGCGCGGCGCTGCAAATTCAAAACGAGGACCCAACACGCAGGAGGGTTTGGAACAGTCGATCGTCAGATGTCTGTGCAAGGGCAACGGGTCGAAGCCCTGACCCCGCCCCCTCCAGCGGCCGACGCCGCCTCGGCGGGAACAGGCAAAAGAGACACCACCAGCACCAGCGCGAGGAGCTGGGGCTGGGAGGCCCTCCTGGCGGTATGGTGCTCGAGGCATCGCCGTCTCCCCACTTTGGGGAGGGAGAGGTTTCGTGGACCTCCTCGCCAGATGCGGCAACCCCTGGCGGTGGTGGTGCCACTCCTCTTTCATCCGGCCAGTGGGGCAAGGGGGGGTGGGGGGTTGGGGGGGGCTGGACACAAGTTCGCGCTTGCCCTCGGGGGCGGGATAGGCGAGTGGTAGCGTTAGGTCGGGCATGCCCCCCTACAGGCGGATTTTGGACGAAAAATAAATAACGATCGAAAAATGCCAAAGCATGCTTTAAACAAAAAGTGTCGAAAAACCGTCCCCATACCATTCTTTACTATTTTGAATACGCCTCCTGTAGAGGGACACGCCCGACTCAATGGTCGCGCGAGAGGGACGAAGAAGGGGAGCGGCGACGTGGTGACGACGGAGGCTGCGGTCAGCGGCGCGTCGGCTGGTACGGCCCAAGCGCTCCTCCTCCTCCTCCTCCTCCTCCTCCTCCTCCTCCTCGGCCTTGGGCGACCTGCCTGCCCTTTTCGAACCTTTCGGGCCTCCTCCCCCCAGGGATGGCCCCCGACTGGCCTCAGCGGTCCCAAAGGGGGCCGAGAGGCACTCGGCGTAACCTGCAAAGTTCCCCCTTCGCGCCACCTCCAAGATGGCCCTTCGCGCGACCCCCGCAGCCCAAGATGCCTCCAAGAGGCAGCGCAGGAGGACCCGAAGAGTCCAATAGCATTCAACGTACTTACGTGTTCCAACGGCTTTCGCCTTCTCGCTCTTTCCGGCTTCCGACAGCCGAAGGCTGGGTGGCGAGCGAGGGGAGGAGTGAGACAGGGCGGACCTTCTCAGAAGGCTCAGAAGTCCCCTGGCCTTCTGAGAAATGTTCGAAGCCTTCCTCGAAGACGCAAAAACCTCTCAAAGGCCAAAGGCCTTCTGAGAAGCCTCTCCGCCTTCTGAGAGGCCTTCTCCTTCTCGCTTCCCCATCTCGCTCGCCGCTGAGAGACGGACCAAGACAGCCCCAAGGCGACCCAAGATGGTCTCTCGGAGACGGGCCAAGAGGCCCCCGAGCCGGCCCCACCCGACAGGGCGTCTCCCTGGGACAGCCAAAAAAAGAAGATCCCAGGGGCCCCGCAGCACCGGCCACCCGCGGGCACGCAGCCCTGGAACGCCCAGCGAAGACGTCAGTGCCGCGGCGGCTCGGCGCGAAGATGTCGTCTGCATTGGGGGGGTCGGGGGGGGAGGGGATGGAAGATGAGCTTTTTCTGCCACGCACGATGAACAATCCCAGACCTCCGAACCCTTTGGGAAGGGTGCCCAGGTCAGGAAGGCCACAGAACATCAGGCGTTGGGGGTGGGAGCCACTCCCGCTACTGCAGCAACCCAAGCCACCAGGAGATAATTATGGCCCCGCTGATGCGAAGACGGGGGCCCTGAGTGAGGCCACGCCTCCCTCGTGCTCGGAGGGCTGGGGCCGTTCGTTCCCCATGGACAGCAGCACGACGGCCTGCTTCCGGCGGCCCCCGGCCCGAGCACCCGAGGCGGGCCACCCGGGGCGCCTCGGGGCCCCCTCCTGGGGCCTGGCGGCCGTGGTGCACGCAGGGCGTGCGAGGCAGGTCGGGAGCTGCCCCGGCCCGCCGGGTGGGAAGCCACGCCCTATGGGGCTTTGCAGCGTCGTCCGCACCTCGCTTCGGCACGTCCGAGCTCCGCAGCTGCCTGCACGCCCTCCCGTGCTCAGCTGCGTTCTTGCTCTTACGTTACCAGCCTGGAACAGATCCCTATCCCTATGCTGGGCATCTCCTCATCACGATGCCAATCTTATGGATTCCCATACTTTTTGAGGGCGAATCCCTAAGATTGTCATCGCCTTTTGGCAAGTCAATCTTAGGGATAGGGATACGTTCGAGGCTGGAAAGTATGGACACTGCGCAGGCCTGACGAAAACCTGAGGGATCCCTTCCAATGTGAAGGTCCGCGCGGACGTCTTGACGTCCTGCGTCGGCCCCGGACCCCCCCACCCCCGAGACCCGGCACCACCCGGGGAGCCCAGCGCAGATCCAAGGAATCCGCCCGGACCTTGGGGAGCTCTGGCTCCGCAGCTTCTTCTCCTGCGATCAGGGCCACCCCCCAAACGACTCTGACGTCAGACCCAAGGCCGCTGGACAGGCCGAGAACGTCACGCGAGACTTCGGCGAGGGCACAAGCGCCAGACGAAAACGAGAAACAAACAGGGATGACATCGTAAAAGAAGGCGGTGGCAAGGGGGGTGACCGAACGGGGACGTGACGGGCTTTTGCGACGACATTCCTGGCTTGTGGACCACTGCGCGGCGCTCGTGCGTCTGGTTCTCCGCGAACACCGGGAAAGCGCGGAACTTCTCCTGCCAGGCGCGGCGGGCGGGGAAGGGGAGTTCCGTCTCCGCTGCTCCTTCCCTCATTCCTCCGCCTGCTTCACCACCTGCTTCTTCTCCTCCTCCTCCTCCTCCTCCTCCTCCTCCTCCTCCTCATCATCAGCCTCCTCTTTCTCCCTCCTGCGTCTCCTTCAATGAGAGTCCTGTGGCAGCGGTCTCAAAAACAGATTCCTTTATGGACTGCGTCTAGATACCAGGTGTGGAGGGTTGCAGGTATGAGAGGGGGACGCTGTTTGGATGTCTCTTCCGACGCAAGCACCCTGCGATCAAATGCTGCCACGTTTCACCGCGGCCACGCCTATCACGGAAGAGCCGCCAGAACTCAACGGCACAACAAAGCGTCTTCGTCGTCCGCGTCATGGAGGTGGTCGTCGAATGGCGAAAGAGAGGAGGATGAGAAGGGAACCGAGGAACCTTTCGAAAGGTTCCAACTAATCTTAAACAAGGTGTTCCTGGAATGCCGGATGCTGAAGGTCCTTAGCGGTTTTCAGGTTTCTCCGAGTCGGCCAGAGCTTGTCAGAAAGGGGTGGAGGAGAACACCGAGGAGGACAAGGACACAGATAATGCGACAAGTATTCAATGAGGATGATGGTGCACCAAACCTGTAAATTCTGACCAGAGTTTCGAGGCGGTTCCAACCAACCTCGCCGAGGCACAACAAATGTGAACAACAAGGCGCGGGCAGGTCGCCGGCCCGCCGCCCGCGGCGGCACCGCGGCTGGGGGCAGCAGCGGCGGCGCGGGACCTTTTCGCAGGCCGCGCCTGGCGGGCGCACGCGGCGTCCCAGGGCCCAGCCTGGGTCGCCTGCATGCGCTGCGGATGCTGGGCGCCGTCGTGGCCGCTGCTGGCCAGCCGCCCGTGTGGCGGGTGGGCGCCCGCGTTGCCGCCGCGGGCGGGCATGCTGCTGCTGCTGCCAGCGGAGCGCGCTGGCGGTGACGAGGCGGCCTGGCGTGCCGTCCTCCGGGATCGGCAGGCTGCGCGCCCAGGCCCGCCGGACTGAGCCGGCGCGGGGCCGTGCGGGCGCGGGCGCTTGTCCCCTCGCCCCTCTGTTCCCTCCTCTCCCTCGTCTCTGTCGTTCCCTCGTCTTGCCGCTGGGCTCCGCTGCGATGGTAAAAAAGTGAACAACGGCCAAACATCAGGAGCCTCGAACCTGGATCACCGATGAGGACGACGACGGCCACGACGACGACCAGCACCACAACGTCGTCGAAGCCGACGACGCCCATGACCACAGCGACGATGACGACGACGACGACGGCCACGACAACGGCGGAGACCACGACAATGACGGCAGCAACGACGACTACCACGAGGATCCATACATGGCATCCCGGGGGTGTGCAAGAGGGGGGCGTCCAAGAGGGGGGGGCGCAAATCATGGCCGGCGGCATGCGTGCGGCCCAGGGGGGGCCGGGGACGCAATGACATAAGCAGAGGCGCCATGAAATCTGGGGAGATATCATGTCCCCCGCCATGATATCCACCCCCCCCAGTCTTAAGTCGGGCCTGTCCCCCTCCGGGGGGATTTTGGACGAAAAATATAACATACTCAAAAAATACTCAAAAGATGCCCAAGCATACTCAAAAAATCGCCCCCAGACTATTCTTAGACTATTTTTGAACTTTCCTCCTGTAGAGGGACAGGCCCGACTCAACCCTAGTCATCACCTCCCTCTTGGCCGCCCCCGATTCTCCATCCTGGATCGGCTTCTCGCAGTTTCGAGCGACACGAGCGCGCGGTATTGTTGGGGGCGGGGCCGTCGGGGGCTTGTGCGGGGGGGCGGGAGCCCTCACTTCGTGCTGCCCGCGTCGCAACACCTCATAACATATTACCTGCAGTCGGGCCGCTGAAAGAAGGACCGCTAAATAAGGAACAAGGCCCCTTTTTGGTCCTAAAAGCACCTCCGTGCCCGAGGGCGAGGGGGACGGCAATGGAGGAACCTGGGGAACATCGAGCCCCTTCCGAACCCAGACAGTTCCTTATTTCAGCGTCTTGACTGCAAGTGTGCCCTCTAACCCACACCCGCCTGCAGCTATTGCACGCCGGTGCCAGCCACCATTCGCAGCCAGGGTCGCAAGATTGTCTCGTGTCACGGCCTCCCGCCGCCGAAGAAGCCCCCTCAAGTTACGATCCTCGAACGGCGGCGGCAGCGAGCACCGACATCGTCGACGTTGGCGACGATGTCGTCGCCGCCGCCGTCATAGACGATGCCGGCGAACACGCCCGCGCCGGCGTCGATGACGACGCCGACGACGACGACGAGCACGTCGTCGGCGACGGCGGCGGCGGCGAGCCCCTCTGCCAGCGGCGCCTTGGCCAGCTTCACCGGGCGGGCCCGGTGGCGGAGGGCCTCGTCTGGGCCTCGGGCGCCGGAGGACGAAGGGGGGGGACGAGGCAGCCTTCCCGCAAAGACTCCCACGCCCAAGGCTCCCACGTCCCAGGCCGAACGCGGCGGAGATGTGACGTCGAAGCACCTTGTGCTTTGCTCCATGGGGTGCCCAGATCCAGGGGGAGGGAGAGGGGTTCGCGGCTCGAGGTTGTTCGAGGGGCGCCCCTCCTCTCGTCTGCTCTCCTCCTCCTCCTCCTCCTCCTCCTCCTCCTCCTCCTCCTCGTCCTCCTCCTCCCTCTCTCTCCTCCTCCTCCTCCTCCTCCTCCTCCTCCTCCTCCTCCTCCTCCTCCTCCCTCCTCCTCCCCCTCCTCTCCCTCCTCCTCCTTCTCTTCGCCCCCCTCTCTCTCCGCGTGCTCTCGGCCTTTTCTTGTTCGAGGTCCAAGGATCGATCATCGAGGCCTGGTGATCGGGCTTCGAGGTCCGAGGACTTCGCACGCTTCTGGCCCTCCGTGGGCCTCCACCGCAGGGGGGGGGGGGCTTCTCGCCGCCGTGACGTGGCCCGCCTCGGAAACTCTGGCGCCGGAGCCCACCCCTAGGGAGGCCCGGGGGTCGACGTTCGAGGCGAGGGGGGGAGGAGGAGGAGGAGATCGGTCGGAAGCTCGGCCCGTCTTTCAGCAGTGTGGCATGCAGGGGTGGGGCTGAGAGAAGCAACGAGCGGCGTGAACAGCATTTCTCGGAGGCCCGCGCGGTCGTCTTTTGGATCGGTGCTGGACTCCCCTCCCACGGCGAGAGGAGGCCGCCAGGGGCTGCGCCAGAGGCGCCCTCCGGTCGGGCCCAGCGCGCCGACCCGGGACATCCGCGCGGAGCGCAGAGAACTGATGCTTGTGCCGCTGCTTGTGCTTGAAAGGTTCGACTCTCTTGCCATCGCTCGGGCGCCCATCCCCTGAGCATGCGCAAGTTTCCTGCGCTGTCTTGTCGTTTTCTCGCACCAGGGGTCCGACATGCTCCTCGATGGCCTTGCCGACGACACAAGCGTCCGAGCGACGCCAAGACCTGGCGCAAGGGGAGGGAGGAGGCGGCTCCTCTGAAGGAGGGAGAAGCAGGGGTGCTACTAAGATTATGCTGTTCCCATCGTGCTGACGGGCCACATCCCAAGAATAGAATCGAACACCCAGAGAAGTATCGGAACAGTGTCTGCCCGGCACGCTGGCGAAATGTCGAGCGAGTATCGCCTCACACGTGAAAACCTAGCAGTTTCGGCACTTCCACTTCGTGCTCGAAAGTCTCTCTGGTGATCAAGGCTGAAGTCGGCTGGAGCATCATAGTCCTAAGAAGCCTCCCCCCTTCCTCCCACGGTCGGACCTGGGAGAGGACCATATCCTTCAAGCACACGAGACCCTCTGCTGGCCGAAGACCCACAGAACGTCCAAGGGCACCCTCCCACAGGATGCACAGCAACACCCCACAGACACAGAGAACGCCTGGGAACCTCCCCGAAGCTTGGAGGCCTAGAAATGGGCACCAACACCAACACAAGGAGTTGCCTCCACAGGGGGAAGATGATCCTAGATTTCGGTGCTGGTGGTAAGATTCCGGTCATCTTGGCAGCAAGAACATTACCACCATCACCGAGATCGGGATCGTCTTCCCTCGGTGGAGGCACACCGCCGATCTTGGTGTTGGTGTCAACCTCTAGGCCTGCGAGAAGCGACCTCGGTCTCGTGCCTCGACCGGCCCCACCGTGCCCGTGAGGGAGCAGCCGCGCCTCGCCCGCGACGCCTGGCGCCTCGCCACCCTCGAGCGGCCGCCGCGAGGCCCGTGGCCGGGAGAGGGTGAGGGCGGAGAGCCCCACCCCAGAGACCTCCTAGATTTACGTCGGGCGTGCCCCCCTACCGGGGGATTTTCGGCGAAAAATAAAAAGTACCCCAAAAATGCTCCAACATGGGCAAAAAAAAACCCCAAAGAATAGTCCCCAGACTATTTGTTTGGTCTATTTTGGAATCTTCCTCCTCTAGAGGGACAGGCCCGATTTAATCCTAGATGGGGGCCGAGTAGACGGGGTCGAACGATCGCGCTGCATCGCCGATACAGCTGCATCGCCGATACATCGGCGATGCATCGCCGATGCATCGGCGATGCCTCGGAAACATCGGCGATGCATCGGCGACACCGGCGTGGGGAAACACGGGCTCCACATCGAGCCGCACCGTCGATGCACCGGCGATGCATCGTCGACGTCGGCGATGCATTGGCGACGTCGGAGTTAAGCAGATCGGGCTCCACATCGAGCCACGTCGTCGATGCATCGGCGATACGGCGCGATCCTCCGACCCCATCTACTCTGGGGGGCGGCCAGGAGGGGGGGCGTCCAAGAGGGGGGATGCAAGTCATGGCCGGCGGCATGTGCACCGCCCATGGGGGGGGGGGGCAGGGACGTAATGAAGTAAGAAGGAGCGCCATGAAACCTCGGGAAATATCATGGCCCCCGCCATGATATCCCCCCCCCCTAGTTATCACCCCCCGCTTCGCCGTCCCCCATACACTACTCGGCCCCCATCTGGGAGGAATGGATACCCCCCCCCTGGAAGCGTCGCGCAGCCTCGTCGTCTTCTGCACCCGCCCCCTCCTGGCTCGCGCTCCTCCTCCTCCTCCTCCTCCTCCTCCTCCTCCTCCTCCTCCTCAACCTCCTCCCCCTCCTCCTCCTGGCTCGCGCCCCTTGGAAGGGGCCGCGGCCTTGCGCAGCCGGGGCGCCCTCACGGCGCCGCGGCGGCGGGGCGCTGCCGCCCGCGGCCCGCTGGAGGCGGGCCCTCTCCTGCGGCAGGGGAGCGGCGACCAGAATGCCTCGGACCTCCCTCCTCCTCCCTCCTCCTCTCCTCCTCCTCCTCCTCCTCCTCCTCTCCTCCTCCTCCTCTCTCCTCCTCCTCCCTCCTCCTCCTCTTCCTCATTATCCTCCTCCTCTTTATCCTCCTCCTCCTCTTTATCCTCCTCCTCTTTTATCCTCCTCCTCTTTATCCTCCTCCTCCTCCTCTTTATCCTCCTCCTCCTCCTCCTCCTCCTCCTCCTCCTCCTCCTCCTCCTCCTCCTCCTCCTCCTCCTCCTCCTCCTCCTCCTCCTCCTCCTCCTCCTCCTCCTCCTCCTCCTCCTCCTCCTCCTCCTCCTCCTCCTCCTCCTCGTCCTCCTTATCCTCCTCCTCCTGATCTTCCTCCTCCTCCTCCTCCTTCTCCTCCTCCCACCTCCTTTTCCCCCTCCTCCTCCACCCCCCCTCCCCCAGCTCTTCCCCTCGGGCCCGGATCAACTCCGGCTCGGGCCTTCGGCCTTCATTGCGACGCAGGCGGAGCCACGAGGGCCGGCACAGGCTGCGTGCTGTTGGCGGGGCTGCGGGGGGCGGGGGTAGGCACGCATTGGGCTAGCACGCGTCCTGAGGCTCACCCGACGAACGACTAACCCAAACCTCGCCGCGCCGCGAAGAACGAACACGGCGGACGGTGGTTTGCAAGTGTCGCTCTTGGTAGGCCCTCACCAGGCACCAGGGCTGCCAAACGACGACTCACGATGAACAGCTGATCCCCAGAAAGGGGTCCAGACATCAAAGGAGCCACCTTGTAGCAGAAACCACGGCGTCCAACGCCAGGGCACGACTACGAAATTCACAACGGCTGGTGGATGCTGCGCAGGCCCTAGCACGCTCACCACGTTCGTGATGCTGCTGGTCGCGAGGCCTGGGGGGCCTTCGTGAATACTTCGTCTGCAGATATGTAGCCCCCCCTGCCGCCTGCTCCTGAGGCGGCCATCTTGGCTGCCTGCTCCTGCGCGTGCACCAGGGGGCAAAGACGAGGAGCAAAGCCTTTTCGCCGATCGACCCAGACCTCCACAAAGGATGCTTGCTTTCAGTCCCGGCATTTTCTTTGGTTCCGGCATGTGAGGGCAGACTTCGGGCCACGTGGCCCTGAGTTTGTGTCGGCATCTTAGCTGCCCCGATACGCAACACGCATCACGCAGCGTATTGCTACGGAGCTCAAGACGTAGACCGAACACGTATGTGTGACGCGATAAATTCGCCTAACCCTATACCCCCGATGATCACCGGGTGGGGGTAATCAAGTTCGGGGTTCCAGCGGGATATGCTTTTCTGGCAGGTCGCAACATAAAGGAGGAGGAGGAGGAGGAGCAGATGGAGGAGAGGGAGGAGGAGGAGGAGGAGGAGGAGGAGGAGGAGGAGGAGGAGGAGGAGGAGGAGGAGCGAACGAAATCTTTCGAAATGTAAGGATGCACGGAATGTCTCAAGGTATAACGATACCGTGCTCGCTCTTGCGGGACCGCCCTGGAGGGGTGGGATGATCAGGAATCCTTAGAAATACATGGTATAGCGACAACGTGCTCGCTCAGGCAGGGCCTCCCTGGAGGGGTGTGAGGAATGGAAATCCTAAGAAACACTATGGTCTAGCGATGCCCTGCTCGCTCTGGCGGGGCCTCCCTGGAGAGGTGGGAGGAGTGGGAATCCTGAGAAATGCTATGGTATAGCGATGCCCTGCTGGCTGCGGCGGGGCCTCCCTGGTGGGGTGGGAGGCGTAGGACTCCTTACGAATACTATGCTCTGGGACTCCCTGTGTTGTCTTGGTGTCTCGGTGTCTCGGACGGTGCATACTGCCCCCAGCGACGATGAAGTTCGGCCCCGCCACTCCCCACGGCTGACCAAAACTGTCTTGGCTGGGGATAATCATGAAGATCGTGGGCAGAGGAAGGGGGTATGCTTGATTGTCGGGGGCCTGCGGTTAAACGTGGGCCAATACGCTGAACCAACACGCAACGCATTGACACGGACGTTTCAAGCGCTGTACGCGTTGCGTCTCAAAACGGGCGCATCGAGGCAGCTGAATTTGACATGTTTCCCATCCACTTGGGGCGGCCATGTTCGTATTGGACCCTCGACGTGCTCGGTTCGTGGGGCCGCCTCTGGGGTCGAGGCCCTCGCCTCCACGGCCAGATCCGTCGCGGAGTGCCGATCTCGAAGCGCGCTCCAGGGCAGGCACTGGGCCGTGGACCCCCAACTCGTGGGCGAAAATCGGGGAGACGTAAGACTCGTGTACGAGGGACTCGGGTTGGCCTGACGGGGCCATCATAAAAATGAGAAAACCCAATATGAAATTTGACGCGAACTCCCGCTGCAGACATTCCACGAAAACTGAACCGTCAAAATCCGGAACGCGCTCGACCAGAGACGTCGGCAAACCCAGGTTCTGGCTTTCTCGAGTCCTACCTTCCCCCGAAAAAACAATATTGATACGCGCGGCCTCGCGGACCGGGCTCCTTGGCCGAGACCCTGCGGATACGGGCCGTTCTGTCGCGGCTGCCCCGCGCGGAGTGCATCCGTGCGACCGCGTATCCGCGGGATCGCGCCCCGGAAGCCAGACCGCGAGGGAAAGGATGTGGATATGTTCGGCGCTCGTGACCAGCGCCGCGACCCACAAAGAGAACAAGAAACAAGCAACTTTCTTGAGGATCTCGCCGCCATGGGTCCCGCGACTGGGACCCTGCGGGGCCGTCAACGAACAACCCCTTGGCGAGGAGTGGGCTCCTGTGTCTACGACGCCCAGAGCTCCCATGGGCCCCGCGCCAACGAAACAAGCTACGGCACCGAATGGTCCCAGGGAGCCCTGAAAATCACGTGGGCGCATGGCTACGTGCACCACCCTGTTCTCGTTTTGGGCGTGGAGGAGGAGGAGAACTTGAGGACTTGAGGTGATATGGCTTAGGGGCGCCTCAACCGCGTGTGTGGGTCCAGTTACCTGGACGTACCACCCTGTAGGGCACGGTGGCCCGATGTGGCATGGTCTGGGGCCATATGGGTCCAGACCGCACGGGCGGGGCCAATGAAACAGTAAGGGGCATTGGATGTTGGCGGGTTGAGATTACGGGTAGAACAACGTGGCCATGGGGGGTGCAAGGAGGAGGAGGATGAGGAGGAGGAAGATGAGGAGGAGGAGGAGAAGTGCAAGGATGAGGAGGAGGAGGAGGAGGAGGAGTGCAAGGAGGAGGAGGAGGAGGAGGAGGAGTGCAAGGAGGAGGAGAAGGAGAAGGATGAGGAGGAAGAGGAGGGAGGAGGAGGAGGAGGAGGAGGAGGAGGAGATGTGGAGAAGGAGGAGGAGGAGGTGGAGGAGGTGGAGGAGGGGCGAAGAGGTTGCGGTCGGGCAGCCCAGGGGCGCTGGACGTCGAAGCAGGGCACCGCAGGAGAGGGGGAAGGGAAGCGCAGGGCGGCTGCCGAGGGACGGGCGGGCAAAGCGGCCACCTCAGACCGTGCAGGTCCTCGAGAGCCGTGGCGAGGCCCGGGCTCGCACCCACGCGTGCGAGCAGGCCACCCCGCACGTCCGCGATGCGACCCTTACGTCACGAGCCCCCGCGTACTGCGTGCCCTCGAGGGTCCACGCGAACTCGAGTGTTCGTGCGTCCCTGCTTCGAGCCGAAGGCCCCGCGATGTGGCCTCGGCCCAGGGCCGACCGGAGGGAGCTGCAGCTGGTGATTCTGGACGTCTCTGGAGGCCTTCCAAGTGGGCCGTCCTCCTCCGATCTCCTCCTTCCTCCTCCTCCTCCTCCTCCTCCTCCTCCTCCTCCTCCTCCTCCTCCCTCCCTCCATTCCCCCACTTCCTGCTCCTTCCCTCCTCCTAGTTCTTCCTCCTCCCACTTCCTCCTCCTCCTCCTCCTCGTCCTCCTTCCTTCGCCAGCTCCCTTGTCTCCAGAGGCCTCCAAACTTTGGTCCAAGCGGATGGGGTCGGAGGATCCCGCGGCCTCGCCGATGCATCGCAGGTGCATCTGTGACGTCGGGGTGGAGAACAAGGGGCTCCACATAAAGCCACGTCGCCGATGCATCGGAGATGCGGCGCGATCCTCCGATTGTATTTATTTGGATTTCGTTTGGGAGGCCTGGAGTCTTGGGCGCCTCTGGCGCGTGCCATAAGGCGCGCTCTACGTCTCGTCGGGCTCATTGAGGATACTGGCAATATCGGAGGGAGTTGGCCCACCTTTTGTTGTAGGGCGGGGGGAGCTTTCCGCCGCATTGAAGTCAACGAGCCCTCAAAGAAAAATTAGGCCACAGAAGTATGGTGAGCCGCATCGGGGAAGCGGGAACACCGCAGGTGCAGGCCTTGTCGCACAGCCCTGCTATCCAATACTACATGTTTGTATCGGTATGCTGTATGCTGTATGGCCTCTCAGTCGGGGCTGGGAAAAATAATCGCACGGGGGGTCTGAGCAATGACGGCGCGGGTCGACCTAGCGGCATCCTGCCGTCGGTAGGCTTCCCGAGGCCTTCAGCCTTGAACGCCCGCGGCACGCTGCCGGAAGGTTCTTCCCAGACCTGGCGGCCCAGGCCTCCAAGCTTCGCAATTCTTTCGTGACGTGGGCGCCTGAAGCCCCTGCAAGAATCCAATCGGTGAAAACGGTTTGTGGGAGAAGGGGCACCACCCCATGCCCCCCCTTCCTTGGTCAACCAATCTGCGTCCGGTTCCAGCTCGACCTCCATTTTACGCTCAAGCTCGCGCTCGGCCTCCGCCTTGCGCTGGGCCTCCGCCTTGCGCTCGGCCTCCGCCTTGCGCTGGGCCTCCGCCTTGCGCTGGGCCTCCGCCTTGCGCTGGGCCTCCGCCTTGCGCTCGTCCTCCGCCTTGCGCTCGGACTCCTGCTGCAATGGTTTGCACGAGTCGCGCTCGCGCGGGAGGCTTGGAATAGCCCAGAAACGGCTCTGGAGAAACAAAGTGCGCCCTCGGAGCTATCGACTCTTCCCCCTGCTCCTGTTCATGATGGCCCTGGAATCCACAACGGGCCTCGGGAGGCCCAGAATGACCGACGGCAGCCTGGCTGTCGCGAACGTCTCGCACGTTGACCCATGGGCCCGCGTATGTTCTGGCACATCCGCCACCGTGCCCCCTGGCATGTTGAGGCGTGGTAGAGCGCCGAGTGCTGTCTGGTAACGGGTCTGTAATATTCGAAGGGGGGCCCGTCCCCCCTCGTATCCAGTCGCACGCACCACCCTCTCCCAAGGCATCCCTGGCGCTCCTCAACGCGGACGCGATGCCCAAGATGGTTTCGAAGACAACCCAGACAAACCACCAAGGCTACCAAGATGGCCTCAAGACGGCCCAAGATGCCCCTAAGAAGGCCACAAGAGGGCCGTCAGCAGAGTCCGAAGAAGTCAAAACCATTACTTTCAATAGAGGTTGAAAGATTTCCGCATTCTCGCATTTTCGGGCTTTCGTCAACGATCGACGGCCCCATAAGCCTCCAAGATGACGGCCAAAGATGCCGCCAACAGGGTCGCAAGACGGCTGAAGAAGACCCCGTGAAGGCCCAAGACGGCCTCAGATAGCCACAAAAAGGCGTACGCGCCCAGCCGTGTGCATGAATACGGCACCCCAGTCCGCGAGGCTAGCCCCGTGATGCGAACACTCACGCAACGTATACCCACGAAGCGCGCGAAATGTACACGTACAGCCGCTGCTCGCTCCTGACTGGACGGCCCTTCAACGGCGCCAAGACGGCCAGAAGACACCCCCCCATACGGCCAAGAAGGTCCCAAGACAGCCCCAAGACCGCCTCAGAGGGCCCCGAGACGGCCGAAGGGGGCCCCAAGACGACAAGACGGCCCCAATGTACTTCTCAACACAGTGAGCGTGACAGGTGTCACATGTAACGGCATCACGCCAATAATCGTGAGCCAGAAGGCCAGCCCATGCCGACACACATACGTAACCGATCTCTGCTGAACGTGCGTGAGGCGCATTCGCTCGAATGACGGTGAGATCGAGCACCGCGGGGGGGTGAGCCCATCCCAGTTGTTCTAGGAGCCCAGGTGAAGCGGCATTATACCTGGGCTCTGGCGGCAGGGCACGCACAACAACGTGTGACGGTATTCCTATTCCTCCTCCTCCGCTTCTCGTCATGGTCATCATCACCACCATCACCAGCATCATCATCATCACCACCATGATGATCATCATCATCATCATCATCATCATCAGCATCTTCATCATCATCATCATCATCATCATCAGCATCATCATCATCATCATCATCATCATCATCATCATCATCATCATCAGCATCATCATCCAGATGACGGCTGTCAAGTTTGAATGTTGGGCTGGCACGGTTGCGGGAGTTGCCGCAGGCAGCTATACGCACACGTATGTATATAAGCACGTACGCAAAACACACAACAAAAACAACATACACACGCACACGAGGCGGACACGTTCGTGCCCACACGGCGGCTTGCCCTGGTGCCGAAGCCAGCAACACCAACTGGACAAACAAACACCCGTCTCGATTTGCATGGATCGAGCCGTGTGGCTGTCTTTGAGGGGGCGATCCGGCCAGCTGCTCGAGGCAGACCTGGCCGTGCCGACGAGATGGCCTCAGGAGGCCGAACACGTAATTAGTTACCCCGACATGCCTTGTGTAGCGATCGAAGGCGACGTGATTGAGCTGTTCCACGTGTGGCAGGAAGGGCATCGCTTTCTGCGATGCCCCCCGATGCCCCCTTCTGCCACACCAGAGCTTTGCATCATTGTTGCAAGGTCACGCGCAGTGTGTGGGACGTTGTGGCCACATGGCAGAAGGGGCATCCATTTGTGGATGCCCTCCCCCTCCTCCTCTTCCTCCTCCTCCTCATCCTTTCCCTCCGCCTCATCCTCCTTCCCCTCCTCCTCCTCCTCCGCCTCCTCCTCCTTCTCCTCCGCCTCCTCCTCCTTCTCGTAATCAGAATCCCCTGAGGGAGCAGAACCAAAGAACACCATTGAAACACAACCAAACAACAAAACAAACAATACAACCAGAACACAATTAACGCAATGCTTCGCAAGAGTTCGCCTGGCTGCATGTACTCCCGCAGGACATTGCATGTATTAATATTTGTTGTTTGTATGTTATCTACTTTCGGCAACGGCCTGAGGGCGTGAAAGAACAAAGGAGGTGGAGCGGGAGGAGTTCTGCTTTCCCCGAGGAGGAAGGCGAGTTGAGAAAAGGACTACTGGAGCAACGAGAGCGGTTCCTTTTCAAGCCCTGCGAAGAGGGTCGGAATCGCCCCAGCCCCATCCAATCTGAAGCTGTGGGCGGGCGGGCCCAGATGGCTGGGTCGAACGGGCCAGTCGCTGATGCATCAGTCCTGCATGGATCGCGAAGAAATGCCGAGCGACCGTGCGATCCCGAAGTAAATTGTGAGGAAGTCCAAGGCGAGAGCGAAATTCCTGAGTGTCAAAGGCGCGGCGTCTCAACGACTTGGAAGTGTCCCACGCGAGAGCGCGGTGCATGGATACATGGTGAGTGGGTCCCGCGCGAGAGCGCGATCCTACAGTAATTGTGTTGTGGATGTATCAGGCGGGAACCGCTGCTGCTGTAAACCAGGAGCTGGCATAACAGCCTGAGGCAGACGACCCCCCCTTGTAAGCAACGGAATGCGAACACCAGGGGGGGGCACTTGCATGAAGACGCGCACGGTGAACTGACAGGAAGGGGTCGGCAATACTTCTTTGCCAGCCGTGATTGTTCACAGCACGCAGCAAACAAGCGGGATCCGGGCCACGGAATCCCCATAGACCAGCGCATCTGGGTTTGTTATCTGATCGCGCGGCCCCTTTACTCTGACCATGCGAGCCACACGCACGCGCCGCCACGCGCGCGTGTCAAAACCCTGCCACAACCATTGGATATCGGAAGCGTCCCCCTCATCAGCGCCGCCGAATCACGTCATCGTCATCGACAATCGCCGCCATTGCCGCCATCAGTATCCAAGCGCGTTCATCACCGACATGGACATCATCATCATCGTTGCCGTCATCATCGGCACTGTCACTGGTTTTGCCGTCGTCAACAGAACCAGCGTCACGAGCATCGCTACTATTATCCTCGTCTCCGCTCTTGTCGACGTCAACATGACACCGCGCCCGCCCGAGCCACCGACCCGCATTGGAGCGCCCGCGTGCCATCGCGGCCTCCGCGACGCGTTGGGAAATTACCATGGGTAAATGCCATCGCGGCCACATCGGCTGTGCCAAACCAGCTGGTCGCCATACGCGCGAGCTTGCGCGAGCTAGCGCTAACCAGCCAGTGGGCTGTGCAAAACAAACTGCAGATGGGAGAATGGAACTGACAGCTCATGAGCGATAATTGGACGTTCGTGAATCGCAAAATGTATATGGCAACACGTGGCTTGCACTGCCACTGAAGGAACAGTGGAATATCTTCCCACCCGTTGTATCTCTCCCCTACCCCCTGGGATCATACAATCTATATTTGAGTGCCCCATCTTTCATTATCATTTGACAATGAATGCGCCCCATCCCAAGCAGGCCGTTACCAGCACCTCCCTCAACGAAATGTAATTTCTAAAATGGTCGTCAGAAATAACACAACGCGCGCGCTCTTGCATAACTATTCTTACGGCAACCATGGGATGTTCACCATATTCGTCAAATGCGGCCAAGCGTGCCTCTCGCGCGCGCATGCCGAAATCATTCGAACGCCTTTTGCGCGTTTGCTGGGGGGAGGGGGGGGGGCACGACCCCCTGTTAAATGATACATTGCCGGCCATTCGCGCCCGTCGGCCGCGCACGCGTGTCGACATCACCGACACGTGGACACCATTATCGTCATCGGCGTGATCAACATCGGCACCGCCATTGGCCGTGCCATCGTCATCGCCACCATCGTCGCCACCATCGTTACCATCATCATCGTGTCCCTTCGTCGGCGTCGCCATGGCACCGCGCCCGTTGGAGCCACCGACCCGCACTGGAGTGCCCGCGCGTCAAAACGTCCTGCGAGAGGCGCCAGGAAGTTGTCCGCGGCCAATGCCACAGCGGCCGCGTCGGTCGCGCCAGAGTAGCTGGCCGATCTGCGTGCGAGCCTGCGTGCGCTAGCGCGGCCGCAGCCAGGCGCCCGCCTCACCAAGCATTCATCGTAATCTTCGCCGCGCCGGTTTTGCAGACCATGTTACGGGTGCGTGGGTGGGTTGATTGCGCGAGCAGTGGAGTTGACAGTTCTCTGCGAACGCACATCAGTTGCACCGCAAAGGCTGCACTGCACCACACACACGCAGCTGCCTAGCTTGCGCCACGTCGTGTGCAAGACCTGGCTCGCGCGGCTGACGTTGCACCACACGGGCTGCAGTACTGCATGGCCAGATAGCGCCGCCTGGCCTGCATCGCACTGGTGGCGACACTTCCGATGCACCAGATAGGTTGGTTGCACCTCGCAGCTTTCACCACGCGTGGCCGCGCCGCGTCTGCTCGACGCACCCACGTGGACGACGCCGGCGCCTCGGCGAAGCCACGGCGAACCCAAATGCGTCCGAGGCGGCGTTTGCTCTGTCGGCCGAGGCGCCCCCCCTCCAAGACGGAAGGCCGCGCGTCGGGACAAACGTCGCGGCGGCACGCAGGGTGCACCACAATTGTCCGCCTCGGAGATTGCAAAGCAGCATAGACTGCACCACACACGATGCACATCTGACGTGCATTTGCTCGCTATTTTGAGCCCACGCTGGCACACATGTAAATTCCTCGTTTATTGTTCTCTGTGGATGGGGCCTTGGGGGAAACACGTATCGATGCCGCTACTCCGCGTAGCCTTCCCGATGTGTGTTCTGACCAAGCTTTCGAGTCGAGTCCGGGCGTGGCGATTATTGCCCCCCACGAAGCCAGAAAGGACCGAAAACGAAAGAAACGTACCGGCATCGGAAAGTATCTTCTCCTCTTCCTTGGCAATTGTTCGCCCTGGGTGTCTGATTGCTGGTCCTTGGGCCTGGAAACGGAGGAGGCCAGAATGAAGGGCAAAAACTCACAAACTGACGTCTGGCACGGTATTATCTGACGGCCGCCTGGATCCCTCAGACGACTGAAAATGCCCAAAGCCCGCCTCCCTGATTTGTCTGATTCGTCTGGAGGTCTGAGTCCTGGGGCGTGTTCGGGCCATAAGTTCGAGGGCAACCCGCCCGTGGCCACAAGAGGCCCCTGGGAGCCCCCCCAACAAAGAACAGGATAAGATCGCACGAACGTGACCTCTCGGAGGTCCCCGCAGAACCCCAGATCGGCGCGCACCTCGAACATCCATGCTTCTGGCGGTCCTCGCTCGTTTTTCCGAGGGCGCCCAACTCCGTGCTTCGCGCTGCGCGAAGCGCGAATCACTTCGCGCTCTCGCGCCGCCCCCCCCGGGGGGAGAAGAGGAGGACGCGGAGGAATCGGAGAGGAACTATGACGGGCGCAGCGCGAATACCTTCGCGCCCTCGAGGGCGCCCTTGCATTTCATCGTGCACAGAAATGGTGGGCTTGTTTTCCACCGCCACCACAATAAGTAGGAGGGGGAGGGGGTCCTCCTCCTCATCCTCCTCCTCCTCCTCCTCCTCTTCTTCCTCCTCCTCCTCCACCTCCTTCCCCCCTCCAACTTGTGGTGGTGGTGGAAAGCAAGCCCATCGAGAAATGCTCAAACCTTCGAGCCCTGGACCCTCGCCCTGGTGAGGACCCCCGAAAAAAGCCGAACACTCCAAGAGGCTCCCCGCCGTAGCATCTCTGCGGCTTCCCGGGCTCTTGGCCCGGAGGCCCCAACCCCCAGCCGCCCCGACGCCTCCTCCTCCTCCTCCTCCTCCTCCTCCTCCTCCTCCTCATCCCCCTCCTCCTCCTCCTCCACTTCCTCCTCCTCCTTCTTCGCCTCCTCCTTCTCCTTCGTCGCCTCCTCCTCCTCCTCCTCTTCCTCCCCCATACTTGGCCGACACCTCGTCCGTCGCGGACCCGTCGCGGGCTGACACAGAGCTCAACACGGAGATGGAACGCGTGCGCTCGGCGCGACGCGTTCGCCAAGACGTGGGCCAACACGCTGCGCCGACACGCAGCGTCGGAGACAATCGCTGCACTCGTGCGTCGAAGCTGCGTCGAACGTCCGTCGATTTGAGTCGTCCTCGAGTCGAACCTGAGCCGAGCCCGAGCCCAACTTGAGTCGAACCTGAGTCGAACTTGAGTCGAACTGCGGTCCAACTGGAGCCGAACAGGTCCATCAGATAGGACCCAGGAAAGGTCCCCCAAACGAGCATCGAAAGCACGTGCTGCGCTTCAAAGCGGGCGCATCAGGAACGCTAATTACAAGGCCCTGGCCAAGACCCTCCGGCCCTCGAGCCGCCCGTCGCCTGCGCTCACAATACGCCCGACACGCCTAGAGAGGGGAGGAAGTCCTCGCTCTCCTCCTCCTCCTCGTCCCCCCCCTCCTCCTCCTCCTCATCCTCCTCCTCTTCTTATTCTTATTCCTCCTCCTCCTCCTCCTTCTCATCATCATCATCATCATCATCATCATCATCATCATCATCATCATCATCATCATCATCATCATCATCATCATCATCATCATCGTCATCGTCATCATCATCATCATCATGATCATCATCATCATCATCATCATCATCATCATCATCATCATCATCATCATCATCATCACCATCATCATCATCGTCCTCGTCCTCGTCCTCCTCCTCCTCCTCCTTGTCCCCCTCTCCCTTCTCCTTCTCCTCCTCGTCCTCCTCCTCCCCCTGCTCCTCCTCCCCCCTTCGCCGCCTCCTCCCAAGAGAGATCAAGCATCATCTCGACTTTCCCCACCCTGGGCCGTCCATGCTCCCGGAGTCGGCATGCATCCCGAGTATGGTTGCTTGACAGCCCCGTGGCCCGTCGAGGGCCCCCAGAGGCCGAAAATGGGACGCACAGAGACATACTAATACTAGATGTCCTCCTTGGAGGCGCGCGTCCGACCCGAACATACAGTACACCCATCTTGTACAGTCGTCGGCCTGGCCAAAGGAACGGTAAATAAGGAACGAAGCCCCTTTTTTATCCCAAGGAATAACGCATAATGAACGATACATAATAAATAACACATTAGGAACTGTAAATAACGCATGCAAGCCTAAGGAACGACCGAGCCCCTTTTGAAAAGTAAGTGTTCCTTAGTCAAGCCGCTCACTGTAGTGCATCGTTTCCTGAGCGGTGTGGCCAGAAAGCGCCCGCCACGACGCACATACAATGAGATTTCTCGGTGCGCGCGTCGCCCCTGGGGGGGGGCGACGCACGTATAGTGGAAGTATGTTGGGGTGACGCCGAGAAAACAGCCCCAGAGGTCCCGATCTCTGCCCTGAGGGAAGCGTTTCGCCCCGGATCCATTCTTGCTGCTCCAGGGGCCCGATCTCGAGCCCCAGAGGCCGAACTCCGAGGACAAGCGCCCGTAGCGAACAAGCTGCATCGCCGGAGATCTGGGAACGTCAACCCTCGCAAGGGGCCCCCAGATCCCAGCTCCTTCCTCGCGCTCTCGACCTGGCGCTTCAGCGCCTCGTTCTCGGACCGGAGCTCGCGGAGCAGCCTCTGGCGCTCGTCCAGGCGCAAGGCGGGCGCCTGACTCTCTCGCTCTCTCTCTCTCTCTCTCGGCTCCGGGGGCGCTGCAGTCGCAGACGTCTGGCACTGTGGCCTGTGCAGTCGCCGCGTGTTCCCTCGACCTCGGCCACTGGAGGCCGTTCTCGGACCGCGCGGCCAACGGAGCCAGGGCGAACAGCTGTACCCGTGGAAGGGGTCGTGGCCGCCAGGCTCGCGTGCTGACCAAAGGCTTTGTCCGATGTCTGCGGCTCTCTCTGTCTCTCTCTCTATATATCTCGGTGCAGAACGCGTCGCGACTCTTGTTCAAGCCGGGCGACTCCGTCTACCTTCTGGCCCCAGGGTCCTCGCAGATCGATCCGGCTCAAGCTATCAATCAATGCCGACTTCCATCCGCCTCCGCCTCCGCCTCCTCCTCCTCCCTTCCCCTCCTCCTCCCCCTCCTCCTCCTCCTCATCTTCCCTTTCTTGTTCCCCCTCATCAAACTCCTTCGCATCCTCCTCCTTCTCCTCCTCCTCCTCCTCCTCCTCCTCCTCCTCCTCCTCCAGGCGAGAGGCTGGGCAACAAAGCCCGCACTTGTATGAAAACGCTCATGCGTGGGATTGGCCAGGCAGTGGGCTGGACAATTTCAGGGTGGCCCGAAGCAGCAGCTCCACGCCACCCGTTCTCTGTGGGGCCGCGTGCCCCGGCCTGGACCCCACTCCTCAGAACTGGGCCCGCACCCTGATGGCCACTGGCCTCGGGAAAACTCGATAACGGGATCGTGTCCTCCATCTGTGAACTGTGTCCCTACAAATGTACTATGATTTGCGCCGCCCCTCTGGTTTTGGAGTGGGCATTCCCTGACGGTTCGGCGCAGGGCCCTGGAAGACTCAAGTCCTTCGGCTGGGGCCAGGTGCGCACGCTTTCCTGGACAAGAGGGGGGGGGGAGGCCGCCAAGGCCAGGCATGGATCCCTTCCAGGGCTGCGCTGTCTGGCTTCAGGTCTGAGGGCAGCAAAACTGCTGCCGCATCCGATTGCTGGAGAGTGCCCGTCCCCGCTCAGAGCTGGCATCGGCGTCAGCACGGTCTTGAAACAAAAAACGGGCGCCGTGGCCAAAAGCGGGGCTCCTCGGCCAAGAGGCCGCACGACGACATGTGGACCGGGCTCCGGGCTCGAGCTAAACAGCGTTTTCCATTGTCGCTTCGCGTTCGTCTTCCTTTGTTCTGTCCTCGTGCTGCCTTGGCTGCAAAAAATTGAAACTAACACGGTCTATGAAATCGCCCAAACACCGTTTGGCTCGAGCCCTGCCTTGAAGGCGGCTGGTGTTGGATGGTTCCTCCAAGGCCGAAGGGAAGTTCCAGGTTGTTACATCTCGGGCCCGCGCCAGAGGCCCAGTGGAGGATCCCCATGGCGGCTGGCTCGATTCCGTGGGTAGCCAGTGGACCGATCATGAAGATAAGTGTTGGGCCGATCCGCAGGCGGCCCCTGCAGATCCAGGTTTGTTACCAGCCTGAGTTTTTGCGGGCGCATACCTAAGATCGTCATCGCCTTTTGGCCTGTCAATCTTAGGGATAGGGATAAGTTCGAGGCTGGTGCGCTTGGAGGGAGCGCACTCGCGAGGCGCAGGCTGCTCTCGCGCTGGTGGCGGGGAGGACTACTCTGACCCCCCAGCCTCGGCGATTCCACCGGAAGGGGCCGCCGCGGTCCCAGCGGTGCCCAAGGCAGGCCGCCAGGATCCCCCCCGGAAGGGATGAGCTGCCCCCGGCCTCGGTAGAGCTGTGGCGCCTGGCGGTGCCAGGCCTGCTGCAGACGTGCTCTTTCTGCGAGGCAGAAATTTAACCATATCCACCGCCTGGGAACCGACGTCCTGGTGCCCCAGCGGGGGGTGGATATGCATACATTTCGGCCCCCAACGGGCCCGAAAATGTCCATATCCACCGCCTGCCGAGGTCCCCGAAAATTGATCCTCCAGGCGGTGGTCATGTATAAATTCTGGCCTCGGACTTTCTCTACCCAGGCCGAGAGGGCGCTGCGGCGCCAAGCCTGCCATGGGAAGAAGGGGAAAGATGCGGATGCCGCTCGCTTGGCCTGCGCGCCCACGCATCGGGCCAATAGACCTTCTGCGACCGGCGCGGTGTCTGCTCGAGCGAGCGGGGATGCAAGATGGTGCAGCCGTGTACCGCGACCCCTGCAAATCCCACGGCGGGGTATCGCCGCGCGCTCTTGCGCCGTTGCAAGCACCCATACATGTGAGGATATCTCTGGGACAGGCGTGCCGCTCCTTGGTCCAAACGAGGAGCGTGACGGCTTCTTGAAGAAGCCATGAATTGAGCATGGGGTGGGCGCCAGGCACCCCAATGTTTGCCCGCCCTCCTCTTCATCACGGCTGTGTGTAACCAGGCCCAGCCTGCATAGTTCTACCAGTAAGCCTCTTCCTACTCCTCCTTCTCATGTCCCGTTCCATCCTCCTCCTGCCCCTCCTCCTCCTCCTCCTCCTCCTCCTCCTCTTCCTCTTCCTCCTACTGGGGTCGCCGTCGACTGCCCTCTGTATTCGGCGCAGTATAGCAAGTTTGTGTCGTCACCACGCCACGACGCCGTCGGCGTTGGTTCGAAGAAGACCACTCAGGATGTATGTTGGTGGGTGTATGTTTTGTCTGTTGGGGCCCGCTCAGCCCGTTACGGCATGGGAGGCCGCCGACGTCTCTGGTGCGTTCGGCCCGGCACGTCAGGTTTCCCGACACCAGCTTGATTTCTCACAACATTCTCCTCCCCCTAATCATTTTTCCTCCTTCTCCTTCTCTCCATTTCTCTTCGCATAAAAGTGATGAGGATGGCAAGTTTGAGGCAGCTGATTCTGGCAGGAGCTGAGTCTCATAAGCATGTCCGATTCAAGCACGCAGTGGGCCATGTGACTCCAGCTTGATGTTCTGCACAAGTTGCTGCACAGATATGATACTGCCTCGAATATGCAAAAGCGCTTTGATGTTCAATGCCCTGGGTGCACGCGGGCTGGGGGAAGGTTCGCAGAGAACACATGACAAGTCGAACATCTGCGACACCCTCAGAGCTCACAGAAACACATTCGTCTCACTGTTGGAATCGAGGCGACCTTCTGTGACCACCCGCAAGACCCTTTGTGCAAAACCAAGAAGTGGACCGACCCGCTGGTCAGCGTGCTGATTGAGAGACAATAGCCCCCCGTCATGTGGCGGCGCACTGCTAGCTACCTCGGCACTGCGAGAATCGGAACTGAACACTGTATCATACGAGAAGCTCTTGCGCTCGGCCAGATCGGGAACTATTCAGACAATGACGCGAGCGATGATGCACACCTCTTCCAGCCTCGTCTAGATACCATCAGGCTCGGTGCTCGGTCTTGCCCGCAGTTTGGGCGATGGTGCATCGGGGGCCGTCTCATAGAGACGTACCTCTGGGACAAGCACCCCCCTTGCTGAGCCGCCTCACATCCATATGCGCTCCTTAGTATCCATTTCGTGGGCCATCCATTTCGTCCTCCACTCGGCCTTCCACATCTTGGCTCATCGATTTCGCCGTGTGGTCCAGTGTCGCGCCCCACGGCCTCTTGGATGGCGGCTCTCTGTTGTCCACTGGTGTCGTGGGGGGGCATAATCTGGCTGTATGTGGACATGTTTGGCTTGCAGAACGTCGGTCTCGCACTGGGAGGGCTCAGCGGCCTCACCATGTCAGGCGAGTCCGAGTTCCACCCCCTTTGCAGGTCCAGTTGCGGCCGGTGCCGCCGCCGTCGCTCTGACCACAACTGCCCATCGGATGTTCGCTCGCTCGCTCGCTGTACCTCCTCATCGTTTCTCTGCTTCTGGCCCTCCTCCTTCGTTCCGCCTCGTCTTCCTCCTCATCCTCTCCCTTACCCCCTTCTCCACTTCTAAGCAACTTCTCCTCATCATCCATCCCTCTTCCTTATTAATAACTCTCTCATGTCCCAAGCTTTTCGCTGGAAGCCTCCTTACATGCTATGGTCCATGTTATGGTCATTAAGCTTAGTCAAAGCCCGACAGTTGAAAGGGTGAAGGCCCAATGATTTCCAAAATGCTTTAGCCCCGCGCACTCTCACATTGAACTACTTCCGGCAACTACAAGAATGGAGGCCGAGGCCGGTTCGCTTCCACTATGTGGCTCTTGCCTTGGCGCGGCAGGCGCTGCGACGACAGTTACCACTCACACTCCCACGTATACAACCATGGGACGGGACGGTTTTCAAGAGTGAGGCTTCCTGGATAAAAAAGTGATGACCAAGGTGAATCACGGAAGTGAGCGAGAATTGCCCCGATGGAGGGCCGACCCCGTTCAAGCCACACCTTCCTGGGCACCTCCTGGACCTCATGATCCCCCAAAAAGGTGATGACCAAGGTGAATCACGAAAGCAAGCAAGAATTGCACGCACGGAGGGCCGACCCCGTTCAAGCCAGACCTTCCTGGGCACCTCCTGGACCTCATGATCCCATCCCTTTGCGTTCCCAAGCTGGAAAAATTGAAGGGAAACTGGGACACACACACACACACACACATAAAGAGACACAAACAACCAGATCCCCCTATTTTCCCGTATTTCCTGGGTCTTTGTCTCCCCCCCCGCTCCCAATATTTTCCCATATCTTCTGGGGGATCGACCATTCATTTGTGTCTGTGTGTTTTTGTTCCCCTCCTGAGAGATGGCGACCGATCCTGCACAGGACCAGGGGCCTCGCCCCCGCATGGCAGGCCCGCGGGCCGCGCCTGCCGCGCGGGAAAGGCCAGGGAAAAAGAGAGCCTCGGGCCGGGAGGACGTGCCGCAGCATCGCTGCTGCGTGCAGTCGGGCTGCTGCAGCTCCTTTGCATTTTAGTCGGCAGCCGCAAGCGAAAGCGCAAACGGCGAGTCGAGTCAGAGCGGGCCGCGCAAAGACGAATTCCCTAAAACGGCGGGCCTCAGGCATCACCACGGAAGGCAGGGCCGGCAGGTGGGGGTGCAGGCTGCGGGTGCTGGGGGCTGAGCCAGGGCAACGCAGCAACTTCCTTGCATGGAGCGTCGCTTTGTTGAAGCCACGCTATAGCTGTACAACGTGGTCATGAAGCCAAACGCCCCGACCTCGTCAAGTTGGTGGAACAAGGTGATAGCAATCATTCCCAAATCGGGTAATTTAACTGTTCCGCGAACTTACCGCCCGATCTGTACGATACCCACGCTTTATAAGTTGTTCAGTCGTCTGCCATACAGTCGGGCTGCTGAAATAAGGAACGCTAAATAAGGAACGAAGCCCCTCTGTGGCTTCAAAAAAAAGCCTGGGTGCACGAGGAGGGCTAGAGGAACAGCCACGGAAGAACGTGAGGAACATCGAGCCCCTTCCGAACCCAGACTGTTCCTTATTTCAGCGTCTTGGCCGTATTGGGCTCGCTCCGATCCTCATCCCGCTCGTTCCCGGATGACAGGGGCGCATGCCGCCGCCACGACGAGGCCGCCCCCGCCCTAGACACACACACACACAGAGGCACCACCAGATTAGATGCATGTCAGAAACCCTTTTCTTAGCCGAGCTCCAAGGCGGTCCTCCGCCTGCAGCGTCAGTGGGCGCCTGGCCAGGCGCCTCCTCCCCGCGCACACGGGAGGCAGCCTAGCCAAGCGCTCGATGGCAAGCAAAGCACGCGCACAGTATGGAGGGCACCCTCCTGGCAAGGCAGGCGCAACCTGGAGCTGGCGGGTACACCCGACGTACAAGTAGCCTCAGAAGGAAACGACAAACTCGATCAACGCCCATATGTCAGCGTCTTGGCCGTATTGGGCTCGCTCCGATCCTCATCCCGCTCGTTCCCGGATGACAGGGGCGCATGCCGCCGCCACGACGAGGCCGCCCCCGCCCTAGACACACACACACACAGAGGCACCACCAGATTAGATGCATGTCAGAAACCCTTTTCTTAGCCGAGCTCCAAGGCGGTCCTCCGCCTGCAGCGTCAGTGGGCGCCTGGCCAGGCGCCTCCTCCCCGCGCACACGGGAGGCAGCCTAGCCAAGCGCTCGATGGCAAGCAAAGCACGCGCACAGTATGGAGGGCACCCTCCTGGCAAGGCAGGCGCAACCTGGAGCTGGCGGGTACACCCGACGTACAAGTAGCCTCAGAAGGAAACGACAAACTCGATCAACGCCCATATGTCAGAAACCCTCCCTCCCCCTCATCCTGCTCACCCTCCTCTCTTCCCCTGCGAGCGAGCGGCGACGGCGCGTGCGCGCGGAGCGCGCGCCGCCCCCTCCGTTCACCAACTTCGAGGACGGCGGCCGCCCCGCGCGCGCGCCGAGGGGTGCGGGCGCTGACCCCCTGCCCTCTCCCTTCTGCCCCTGCCTGCTGCTGACAAGACTCAGTCTTTGCCTCACTCACTCCTCTCTTTCCCTTCTTCTCCTCTCCGCCCCCGCCCTGCTCCCTCTCGTCCCTCCCCTTGCTGTCCATGCCCTCCGGCGACAGCGACGACGACGGCGACGACGATGATGCCGATGACGACGACGACGACGACGACGCCCACGGTGAAGACGACCAGTCAAAACTGGCTCAGAGTCGGTGCCCACGACCCCTTCTGGGGCCCATCCTGGACAGCAGCACATGCCGGACCTGCCCTCCGCGCTCCACGCCCTTCCAGGGCTGCGCGCCCGCGCGGACTTCTTGGATCTGCGCTCCCCCAGCGGCGCGCGGAGCGCGCACCTCGACGGACGGCGCCGGCCGCCGCGCGGAGCGGCCTGGCGGAGCGGCGCCGGCGGCCCCGCGGCGGCACTGCCTGCGCCCCCCGCGAGGGGCCCCCGCCGCCGAGCCGGGGGTCGGCCGCAGCGCTCGGGGCGGCGGCGGCGGCGGCCTGCGGCGGCCTGCGGCGGCGGCCTACGACGGGGGCGGCGGCCGAGGACGACGGCGACGGCGGCAGCGATAGCGACGGCTTGGGAGGAGGTGGGAGCTGGAGGGGCAGGGGAAGCACGGAAAAGACGACGACGACGGCGGCGGCCTCCGGCGGCGGCGACGACGCAGCAACGGCCGGCGGCGGCGACGACGCACGCCGTGCTGCTTCCTGCGCTCTGGGGAAGCTTGGAGGGGGTCCTCGTCGCCACGGTGTGCGCCGCCCAAGTCCCCTTCAGAACGCGCGCTGGAAGGGGTCACGGTCCCCATTCTCGGGGCGACGGCCGGCGACGGCGAGGCCCGCTCCGCTCTCGAGCGGCTCCCCTCCGCGTTCACTGCTCTGGCACGCCGGGCGGCCGCCCGACTGTGCACCCTCGAGTGACCTCGGCTGTCCCACATCGCGGCCCTATTCGCGTCGAGTCCGTGTCGAATCCAGGTCGGCCTCGTCGGATCCGCGTCTGCTCCGTGCCGAATCCGCGCACGCCAAGTGCGCCTCGAGCCCGCTCCGAGCCCCGCGTCGGGCACACGAAAAGACACAGGCGAGGCCCCCCGAACATGCAACGCAAACAACGGCGCGGCGACAGGCCGCACGGTGACCTCGAAGCCCCCCGAAGACCTCACTGCACGGTCCGTCACCGAACGGTCTTGGCAGCATCCCTTGGAGGGCGGCCCCGTCGCCCGAGGCGTCTCCGCAGCGCGACCCAAATCCTAAACGACCGTGCGGCCTGCCCGCATTCCCACGGGCGCACCCGGCGGTGCGGTCACCGCACCGTCCGTCTTGGCACGCCCGCTTCCCTGTCGGTGGAGGGGTCCTGCCGGTCGCGGGAAGGTCCCCAGGATGTTCTGTGGGCGCCACTCGAGTTCGCAGGAGGAGGACCAGCAGCACGGATCCCCCCAAACAACCCCCCCGGTGGCCGCACTTGGGCCACTCTCCCTGGGTGAGCAACGCAAGTAAGCCTGACCCAGTGGGAGGGGGCCTAAGTTGGGAGGGCCAAGAAGGGGTCTTTGCTGGAAATGTATGAGAACAAACCGCCCAAATCGACGATCCCTAATGCGAGCACGGGGACCTACTTGAGGCCACGTCTTCATCGTGTTGTTAGGGTTAGGGGTTCTTTTGTTCTCGATGGTCCCTAATTCACCTCCTCGCGGAGAAAATGGATCGCATCTCCGCCCTGCGCCTCCTCGCTAACCTCCGTGTCCCTTCCTTCGCGGTCGGCGTGTGCCCGTCCAACCATCAAAAGGCCCTGGACCGCAACGAGTCATCCTGAACACTGAGAGGACGCGGCGGCGAATAGCACATGCGCCCCCTCGACCGCTGCTGTAACGCCTGCGACCACTATTACTACTGAAGCGCCTAGTTCTGCTGGCAATGCGTCTGCATTCAGACGGAATTCTGCGACTGCATTGATGGCCTTTCCCTCCTTCACCTGATGCTCCTCATATGTACTCTGCCTTCCTGACTTACTGATGTGCTTGAGTCTGTGAAAGCGTGCGTGTGTGTGAGCATGCGAAGGCTATTCCAATTGCTGGGCGTGCGACACCCTCTTCTCAACTTAGTGCTGTCGTTTCGGGGTGCCGACGTACCAGGTCGTCCTCCTCGGGCCTGGTTTCCAAGACCCTTCGTCTGTGTTTACAGTCCTGTGGAACCGATGTTTTGTCGACGTTGGCACTGCCTGCTACACGCAAGAGCGACGGTAGGCAGGAGTGACCTTTGATGCGCGGCTTGAGATGGAGGCGGAGGGCCGAAGCCAAGCGCGCACGCCAGTGCTCAGGGGCGGCCCTGGAAGCCAGCACCTAAGGCCACCCTGGCGAAGGGCCACTATTTCGCACCCCCGGCACTGCAGCCTGCACCACATCATCGAACATAGAGCCCTCGGAAAAGTTCCGCCGCGAACGGAGGATCGTAACCTGAAACGTTGGACCCTTTGTCCATCTGAAGAGAGAGTTTGCTTGTCTGTGCGCGAGAGGGAGAGAGAGGGTGTGGGGGTGTGTGCGCGAGGAAAGGTCGTGTGGTCCTGTCCATTTGATGATAATGTGTTCCGCCGCATTCAATCTGGCGACTGCGACCCATTGCTGCGCTGAAGGTGAAAGTAGGTAAATGAGTGTGTGACTGTATGTGTGTGTGCGCCTCAGACCCTTACCTTGGCGACCGGCTGTGCACTGGGAATCTACGTGACTGTGAATATTATGTCAGCTGCGCTGACACGCATATGGATCTCGATAGGATTATATCAAGCCACTTACGAAGAACGAGAGGGTGTGTATACAGTGTATGTGCGCGTGTCTCCCCAACTTCTTATGCAAGCGCAACCCATTATGCGTTGGTGCGCCAACGGCGTACATGGTCTTTCTCTGCGCTACAGATTTGCTATCATCCCGTAATTCTGCGTTCAGTAGTTTCTACGGCCAACTGCAACAGGGCTTGGTTGCGGTCAGGCGATGGGTCACCTTGCTGCACGGCAGCGCTGGGTATCAAGATCTGAAAGGGCGCGTCGGAAGCCGAGGTCTCCTCGCAAGGTGCTCTTGGAACTGATGACCAAGCTTTTGTGGGCTTCCTGTCGTAGTCGTCATCCTCCTGGCCCTCCCGTACTATCTGGGATGCTGAAAGGGTGCCCGTCGCAATCTGCAAACATTGTAGCTGCACTGGGGTATCGATTCCCTACAGGCAGCGCTTTTGGCAGATCTTTGGAGCTGAGTTCAGAAGCAGGGCCTCAGGAAAGTACTGAGAGCATACATGCATAAACATGTATACGCGTAAAAAGCTATCTCTTATACGGTAGGGCCTGCAACAAATAATGCTCCCCACCCCCGCCCGTGAGGTTGCTGACAGCGGTGCCCGCGTTGGACTCGTTGGCGACAGAGTCCCCAGTGGACACGGTCACAAGTGCCTGGGCCTGGACCAAGCACTCCTTGGGGAATCCAAATGAATTGAGGTGGCGAGAGTCCGAGCAGTGCGCCGACGAACAAGCAAGGCCACATCGTGCACGGGGAATTTGAAAGACGTCGAAGATACAGCGGGACAGAAACGGGTGAACCGAGGGGGGCAGCGCCAGCAGAGCTCGTGGGGTCCCCGGGGCAGTCTTGCCGAAAAGGCAGGCCAGGACTAGCGTGTGCACAACGGCCCCCAGGGCCAGGCAGTCCAGGGCCACCCCACCCGCGCGCGAGATCCTCTGGGGCTCTCCCGTGGGGCCGGGGGCTTTTCCGCCTCCCCGCGCTCGACAACCGCGGGAGGCGTGCGCTGGATTGCCAGAGAGCGCGCGGCCCCAGGTGCCCGACCCCTTCCCCGAGGCTGGTCCCTCGCGCCCGGTCCCTTTTGACGGCCCCCGGGCCCGACAGAGAGCCCCACAGGCCGACATCGAGGAAGAACGCCCGGTTGGAACAAAAACTGATCGCCTGACATCGGTGGGGCGATGGCAGGACTGGGTTTTGTGGGACCTGGTTTAATGATCCGTACTGGGGACGACCCCTTCCACTGACCGGAAGTGCCGCCACCCAGAAAAACACCAGCTACGGCAGACCTGGTTTGTTGACTCTGGCCAATTTTCGGGAGCGGCCAAGAGGGGGGTGTCCAACAGAGAGGGGTGCAAATCATGACCGGCGGCATGTGCAGGGACGTATGAAATAAGAAGAGGCGCCATGAAATCTGGGGAAATATCATGGCCCCCACCATGATATCCCACCCACCCCCAGACATCACCCCCCTCTCTGCCGCCCCCGAAATTTAAGGGCTCTGGGGCCCTACTACTACCCGGGTCCCCTCACCTGGGTGGGGTCCTGGCTAGTTACCCGAGTCTGGGGGGCTCTCACCCCGATCTCTGCACTGCCAACCCGCACGTCCGAGCGACGCGCCTCCCAGCGCGAGGTCCCGGGCCGCCGTGCACGGAGGTCCGTGCCGCCATCGGGCGCCTCCGCGGAGGCCGTCCCCGGAGGTCCCCGAAGAGCCCTGGAGGCCTTGGGCCTCTGGCTGACGAGCGAGCAGCACGCACCCCTACCCCCCAGGGGGGACGGGGCGGCGACGAGCGAGCAGCACGCACCCCTACGCCTAGGGGGGACGGAGGGGGCCATGTGTGCGTGTGCTGTCGGGTGGGGCTCCCCGTGCGAAGGGGAGCCCCCCCCCAGGGCCCGACCACCCGCACCCACAGCCATAGCCAGCCCTCCTCCGCCCTCCGACCCTCCCGTGGGTGCGACAGGGGGCGATCATTTATGAGGCAAAGGAATGGAGGAGGAGGAGGAGGAGGAGGAGGAGGGAGAGGAGGGAGGAGGTGGAGGAGGAGGAGGAGGAGGAGGAGGAGGAGGAGGAGGAGGAGGGAGGAGGAGGGAGGAGGAGGAGGAGGAGAGGAGGAGGAGGAGGAGGAGGAGGATGAGGAGGAGGAGGGAGGAGGAGGAGGAGGAGGAGGAGGGAGGAGGAGGAGGAGGAGGAGGAGGAGGAGGAGGAGGAGGAGGAGGAGGAGGAGGAGGCGGAGGAGGAGGAGGAGGATGAGGAGGAGGAGGAGGAGGAGGAGGAGGAGGAGGAGGAGGAGGAGGAGGAGGAGGAAGGAGGAGGAGGAGGAGGAGGAGGAGGAGAGGAGGAGGAGGAGGCGGAGGAGGAGGAGGAGGAGGAGGAGGAGGAGGAGGACGTGTTGCTCGCTCGTCGCCGGCAGTGCAGACAAAGGGCACGTGCAGGCATACACGGGGAGCCGTCGAGTGGCCACGGCAGCAGGCTGCCGCCAGGCGCGGGCGGGCTCCCGCGAGGGCCGCCCACTGGAGGCCGCCGAGGGGCCCCCCGCCCAGGGAGGCCCCCGCCGAGAGACCGAGACGCGGAGGAGGAGGGGGACGAGCCAGGAACAAGTGCACGCGGGCAGCACAGCGGGACGCCCCAGGAAGGCCCCCGCCGAGAGGCCGAGACGCGGAGGAGGGTGACGAGGCAGGAACAGCTGCACGCGGGCAGCACGGCGGGACCGCGGCCAACGGCGAACACACATTCACACACACACACACACACACACACGAAATCGAGAGCCACGGGTCGGCGGAAAGGCACCCACGAGGCAGAGCCGCTTCGAGGGCTCTCTCTCCCCCCCCGCCCCGAGGCCTCCGCCATTCCGCCGCCCGCTGCGCCACTTTTGCCATTTTCTGGAGCCCAGGGAGGGCTTCCAGATGGCGTCCAACAACACGACCTCGAATTTCGCACCGTTCCCAATGAGCTGTCAGGACAAGTCGTTGCTTGCGTTGGGCCCCCTCGGGCCCATGCCCGGTCTCGAGATTGACTCCTGGGGCCCGCAGGAACGCCCCTGGGGGCCAACTTCGCGCCGAGACTCGAAACTCCACCAAAACCCAACGCAAACTCAAGAAAAACACCCTCTAATAAACGCCCCGTCTTCTTTTGACGAACCTGCCCTCGACGGGGGTCGCCCGGACGCCTCTTATATACCTGACCCGTGGGCTCGTCTGCAGCATCTTTCAGCATGCAAACTTCGACGCCAGCTTTGGCTGCGCTGTGGGATCCTGCTCGAACGATCGTGACCACAACTTGGACCCCAAAGCAGACTCTAAACCGGTCCAGGTCCTGGCCGAGACCCAAGGGCATTCGGACGCGGCCGGGGCCCAAAGATGGGTATCTGCTCGCGCTTGGACCGTCCAGCGGCCCGCTGGGGCTGCCTCGGGCCCGTCCTGGCCCCTTTTAAAAAGCAGGTTCGGGACCCTTTGTCGGCCCTTTTTGGCGACTTGTGGGCCGTCTGCACGTCGTCTTGGCTTCACTGTGTGGGCAGAGCTCTGGATACGGCTGGCCTCCTGCCATAGACAGCGGGCAGGGGTCCAGAGAGCCAGCGTCCCCGTCGCTGACCCGTGGGCAGGTTCGCCCCTGTCTTGGAGCCGAATTCGGCCCTTCGGACGGGAGCTGGAAAGATCGGGCGGTGAACGCGAAGCGTCTCGAACAGAAGAAGAAGACGCCGCGGATGCCGACATGCGCACGTACTCCTGGAGTTCCAGGGCGAATTCTGGGATCGGCACTGGCCCTCCTGGCGGCGCCTCCGGCGCGCTCCGCATGCCAGGAAAGGGGTCCAACGTCGATCGACGAAATCCGCGTGGACCTCCGAAAATGTATGCGTGTCTTGTCCTCTTCTGAGGAGGCCACAGCAGACGTACGCGCCCATCCACGTGTACGCACACGGCCCCCCCATCCACGAGGCCAGCCTCGCGTTGCCAACGTCCCCGCACTCCAGACTCTCGAGGCCCATGGGGATTACGGCACACGTGCGTTTTTCTTGGGGACGCCAAGATGTACCGGTGCCACCGCCCCCATGACCTCTCCCAGCAGTGGGCGCCTTGATAAGAATTCCGAGGCAAATCCAGCGGTGACGACGAGGGCGTCCCGCAACAGGCCCTAAAAGGGCAAACAAGGGAAGGGTATCAATATGGGATCCAATATGGGTACCTTCTCCTCCTGATTGCAAACGCTCCCGCAATTCAGACCCTCGAGGCCCACGGCAACTACGGTGCACGTGCGTTTTTCTGCCGCCTCCTGCTCCCTTCCGCGCGCTCCCGCAATCTTCAGACTCCCGGGGACCACGGAGGTCGCGGCACACGCGCGCTTTTCTCTCGCCTCCTGCTTCCCACCTGAGATCAAGGAGACGTAGGTAGGGGAACGAAGAATGACATAAACATAAAAACTCGGAGGTCCGCGCGGATTTCTCGGATCGGCGCTGGGGCCCCCTGGCGGCGGCTCCGGCACCGCCCCTGGCGCGCTCCGCGCACCAGGGAGGGGGTCTAGCGCCGATCTGAGAAATCCGCGCGGACCTCCGAGTTTTTATGTTTATGCTATCTTGCGTTCCCCAGAATAAGACTCGGGTCCGCAGGACTTGGGTTGGCCTAACAGGGCCACCATGAAAATGACGAGACCCAGTCTGAAACTTGACGCGAGCTCCCGCTGCAGACATCTCACGAAAAATGGGCGGTCAAAATCCAGGACGTGCTCGTGAAAAAGCGTCGGCAAACCCGACTTCCGGCGTACTCGAGTCTTACGTTCCCCCGATAGGACGAAGCCAGGACGAGGATAAAATCAGGTGAGGAAAATTCGAGAACCTCTGAGATCCAGCGACTCTAAAAGATGTATCTGGCGCCGCGGCCTTCTCAGAGCGTTCCGGAACGCCTAGAACGGATTGTTCCTCGTTCTAGCTCCGTCCAGCAACGGTCGGTGTAAGCGGCATGGAGCCCTTGTCCACAGACCGTGGGCGTGAAAGGGGGTGGGGGTGGGGGCCAAGAGGGGGCTTCGAAAACCATGGCCCCAGGCGTCTGCGCCGAGTTCAAAGGAGAGGAGGAGACAGTGAGATCTGGGAGAGAACAGGGCCACCTTCGCTGGCAACTCGTGGGAGCCTCCCCAACCGTCTTTCTGGAACGGCCCCCACCCCGACCAGGATGAAGGGGCCCCAGGACACACAAATAAATACACACAAATAAAGAGATTCCCCATATTTTCCTATATTTTCTGGTTCTTTGTCTTTCCCACCACTTCCCATATTTTCCCATATTTTCCAAGAAATCGAAGATTTATTGTGTCTGTGTGTTTCTTTCCCTCCTGACAGGAGAGCCCAGAATCGGATCGATAAGCCCAGATCGGCGATCGACGTGACTTGCATCGGCGGAGACCGGCAGCCGAGCCGGGAGGCGCCCAAATCGGCGGGGCTCGGCAGGCGAGCAGGCCTGCGCTGAGCACCCGGAAGCTCCCAGGCGGACTCCGAAGCCGGCTCGGATCGACGTCGAGAAATCGAAGCCGGCATCGAACTCGACGTCGAGCTCGAACCTCGAAATTTCGACAACGAACGTCGAACGTCGATATCGAACCGGATCGACTCGGAGGAGCCGACGCCGAGCCCCACCGCAGAGGCGGCGTGGCCGAGAGGCCTCCGGAGGGACCGCGCGCCCCCCGCTCCTCGTCGCGCAGGGCGGGGGCGGCCCCCGCCGCCCGCGCCGCGAGGAGCGCCGCGAGGCACAGGGAGCTCCTGGCGGAGACGCGTCGCCGTCGCCGGCGCCGTCGTCGCCGACCCTCGCGGCGCACGCGAGACGACCTCCCCCCCCCCCCTCCCCCCCCTCCTCCTCCTCCCCCCCCCCCTCCTCCTCCTCCTCCTCCTCCTCCTCCTCCTCTCCTCCTCCTCCTCCTCCTCCTCCCCTCCTCCTCCTCCTCCTCCTCCTCCTCCTCCTCCTCCTCCTCCTCCTCCTCCTCCTCCTCCTCCTCCTCCTCCTCCTCCTCCTCCTCCTCCTCCTCCTCCCTCCTCCCCTCCTCCCTCCTCCTCCTCCTCCTCCTCCTCCTCTCCTCCTCCTCCTCCTCCTCCCTCATCCTCCTCCTCCTCCTCCTCCTCCTCCTCCTCCTCCTCCTCCGCCTCCTCCTGCGCGCGCGGGGAGGCGACGAAGGATCCTCGTGCTTTGGGTTGCGCATTGTACGGCCCCGACCTCCGACGACACAGGTACGTATGCTCCATCGCGGGATGTTTCCCTTCATCTCGTCCTCCTGGAGCCGGGCTCCCTGGATGAAAAACAGCCCCCGGTGGAGGGGCCAGGACCTCCGGCATACAAAACAGCATCGTCCGATATTCTGGGGCAGCGCGCACGATGGAGTGGCACGAGGGAGGATGCTTTCTGAAAAAGCAGGTTCTAAGAAGGCAAGTGGCTTACCCTTCCGGTTTCTACATCAGCAAGGGCCTTGCTAGAAACCGCTGAGGCCTTCGACGAAGCCTCCCTGCGTCTTCCCGCCCTGCGTCTTAAGACGCCACCACCCGCTTTCTTGAATGACCGCCCCCCCTCGCGCCAACCCCGTGCGAGCGCCATCAGCAAAGATCGATCGATAGAGGCTCTCGCTGTTTCCGACCTTTGCGAGGCCAGTTTCGGGGCCCGGGAGCGAGGGGGATGTTGATGTGCAGGGCGGAGATGGGACGGACCCAGGATGGGTCGGGGTAGGGTGTTCGAACGGATGTGAATGTGTCGTTGTGGTCGTCCTCGTCGTCCATTGTGGTCGCCGTCCGGGTCGGCGTCAATGCCGTCGCCGCCGAAGGGGGCGTGAAAACAGCCCGCGCCACCCACACAAACAGAAGCTTAGAACAACTAGACCGCCAAACGACGCGCAATCCGCAAACTGAACATGATAGACGGTCAGCCAACGACGACGCCGCGTAATCATGTATGGGCGTCGCGCTGCTGCTCTGCTGATCTAAATTTCAATGCTGCGTTGCCTTGTGATGGAGCGCGGTGAACTATCACTGTCCTTTCATGGGCACTCGCGCACTCATTTTGTTTCCATCGCAGTGAAGCAGAGGCAGTCCGCACGAGCGGTCAGCAAGCCGGGGGACAGCATTGCGATTTGCCCGGATGCAGAAGGAAAAGGAGGGGGAAGAGGGGGCGGCCGCGGGAGGTCAAAAAGAGGGGACAAGCGCGCTCACTCAGCGAGGGCCGCAGCGGGGCGCCTGGTGGGGGTCAAGCCGGTGCTGCACCCCTGGCAGCGGGCAGGGGGAACATTCGCGCACTCATGCAGGCGCAGAGGCGTCGGCCGTCCGCGGTGCTAGTGTGACCCTGGGGCGGCGGCCACGGCAGACCCCTTACGGGCGTGTGCCGGCAAGTTTAGATCAACAGCCACATGGAGAGGCCTGCACCAAACCCGCATGATTGCAGATATCGGATAGGTCTAAAAAGGACGGCACATGACATCGTTCTAGAATTGCTGGCGCGGGAGAAAACCCGCGCAGGAAGGCACACACGCAAGCACTTGGATCACAGCAGTTGACTTGTAGACCAGCCACACAAGATCTGTACTTCGTGCTGATTGCTCCCCCCTCTTCTCCACGCGTCCGGTGTGCAGCGGAATCGCTGGGTCTCGCCCATACCTTGCCCTCTAAACCACGCCGGGGAAACACCATTTTGCAGCTCCTTTTGCCCAACAGTGGTACCTTGGCACCATTGTGCATGATCATCGGTCTATTCATGCTCTTCTACCTCATCCGCTTCCGCCTCCTCATTATCCTCCCTCCTCCGCCTTCCTCCGCCTCGTCGTCTCGCTCCTCTTCTCTCATGCTGTCATATTTCCCCCCACCTCATCACTCATACTGTGTCCGATCCTTCCTGCCCGGAGTTCCTGTCTCCTGCTCCTCCCATTTCGTCCTCCACCTCCCTGTCATCCTTCGTCCTCTTTGCTCATCCTCTTCCGCAACAGCAGCGAGAGGTGCGCTGTCCATCAGAAGGTCACGCACCCCATTAGAAGTGTTCAGCCCCCCCGCAAAGAGTTTTACACATTGTTTCCTGTCGCGGGACATGCTCGAAGTTCCCCAAAACCTTTTCATAAAAGGCGTGGGCCTTCACGGGATGCCCTGGAGGCGGCCATTCACTTGTTCGCACACTATCGCCGACAAGCTGCCAGGGAGCGACACCAAACAAACTGTGATGCTGATGGTATGGCTGACTCTCGGGTACCCTTAAGAATCCTGAGGCCCCAGTAAGAATCTGAAAAACGGCTGCAACTCCTCCGAATCTCTCAAGAGGCTGCTTACCGGCTCCTCATCGGCTCAACAGAAGCATTCCGCAGATTCCCCGAAGGGGCCTCCTCATAGACCCCGCAAGAGATTTGAACATACTATCCGGAATAACCTCTGACTATATATACGCATCCCGCAGGAATCACGCGAAAAACTTTCAGGAGTCCAGCGCGCGTGAATCGCGCAGCGGCGGTGGTAGCACGCGCACCAATCATGGTAGACATTGGTGTGGTAGGGGTCGTGGTCGTACCAGTGGTAACCTAGTGGCAGTGGTAGTAGAAGTAGTAGTAGAAGTAGTAGTAGAAGTAGTAGTAGTAGTAGTAGTAGTAGTAGTAGTCGTAGTCGTAGTAGTCGTAGTCGTAGTCGTAGTCTTAGTCGTAGTCGTAGTAGTCGTAGTAGTCGTAGTAGTCGTAGTAGTCGTAGTAGTCGTCGTCGTCGTAGTCGTCGTCGTCGTAGAAGTAGTAGTAGTAGTAGTAGTAGTAGTAGTAGTAGTAGCAGTAGTAGTAGTAGTAGTAGTAGTAGTACTTGTAGTAGTAGTACTTGTAGTAGTAGTCGTAGTAGTAGTAGTAGTAGTAGTAGTAGTAGTTATAGTAGTGAACGGACTGATGATAATACTGTACATCCAAATGCGCATTCAACTAGTAAGGCTAGCACTAGTCGTAACACTAGCTGTGGTAGTAGTAGTCGTAGTAGGATTGAAAGGTGCAGTACAAGTGGTAAGTGTAGTAGTAGTAGTAGTAGTAGTAGTAGTAGTAGTAGTAGTCGTAGTAGTAGTAGTAGTAGTAGTAGTAGTAGTAGTAGCAGTAGTAGTGGTAGTAGTAGTAGTAGTAGTAGTAGTAGTAGTAGTAATACTAGTAGTAGTAGTCGTAGTAGTAGTCGTAGCCGTAGTAGTAGTAGTAGTAGTAGTAGTAGTAGGAGTAGTAGTAGTAGTAGTAGTAGTAGTAGTAATAGTACTAGTAGTAATAATAGTAGTTAAATGTGTAATGGTCGTAGTAGTAGGAGTCGTAGTAGTAGTCGTAGTAGTAGTAATAGTGATCGTAGTAGCAGTGGTTGTAGTAGTGGTAATAGTAATTGTTGTAGTAGTAGTAGTAGTAGTAGTAGTAGTAGTAGTAGTCGTAGTAGTAGTAGTAGTGGTAGTAGTAGCAGCAGTAATAGTAGTAGTACTAGTAATACTACAAGTAATACAAATAGTAGTCGTGGTCGTAGTCGCCATAGCCGTAGTAGCGGTACCAAAATAATAAAGTACTACTAGGTAATCGTAGTACAAGACATCGTCGCATTCGTAGTTTCAGTCGCGGTAGAACTAGCAGTGGTAGTGGTAGTAGTAGTAGTAGTAGCAGTAGTAGTAGTAGCAGTAGTAGTAGTCGTAGTAGTAGTAGTAGTAGTAGAAGAAGAAGAAGAAGTAGTAGTACTAGCAGTAGTAGTAGTAGCAGTAGTAGTAGTAGCAGCAGTAGTAGTAGTAGTAGTAGTAGTAGTAGTAGTAGTAGTAGTAGAACAATACTAGTAACTAGTAGTAGTAGCAGTAGTAGTCGTAGTGGTAGTGGTAGTAGTAGTAGTAGTAGTAGGAGGAGGAGGAGGAGGAGGAGGAGGAGGAGGAGGAGTAGGAGTATTTGTCGAAGTAATCGAAGTAATGATGGTAGAAGGGGTCGTAATAGTCGTAATCGTAATAAGCATACCAGACATAGAAGTACATGTAGTAGTAGTCGTAATAGTAACCCAGAGGTCTCGTTCATCCCGATTCGGGAGTCGAACATGAAAAACAACATGTTGTATATGTTCATCTAGAATCGGGATTATATGATATAGCGCGCATGTGATCCCAGAAACGGGGCTATATAGTCGAATGCGCACTGCGCCCATCAGATGGAACTGTACGAGCATGCGGACGCATGTACATATGGGTGCGTTTGAGCATATGTGTGCGCGCGTTTGCGCATGGATCGTCTTGCGAGCGTGTGTTTTTGAACGCGTGTTTCGTGCGCGCGCGTTCTCGCGCGCGTTTGTGCGCGCGCGCGTTCGTGCTCGCATGTTTGCGTGTGCGCGCGCAAATGTGCGTTCGCACAATCCGATCGCGGTGCGCATGCAACACCATTCTACGAATACGCAGCGGGCCTTTGTGCGTGCGTGTGTGCGTGCTTGGTGAGGGGGGGAGGTAGAGGCGTTGCCTTCCTGATTTCTTGTTCCCCGCCCATCACCCATATCTGCGGCGCGTTTGTCCGCGGCCCGTGGCCGATGGTTCGGCGGCGCATTGCACGCGCGGGAAAAATTGCGCGAGAGAGGGAGAAGGAGGGAGAGGAGCGGGGCACAGGTTGGGAAAAACAAAAAGGGAGGAGAGATGCATATGTGGCAGGGTGGCCGAATTGCAAAGTCTAGCCGCTGCCCCTCGAACCCCGATGCCCCAGTTTTTGTTATTGGCTGTAGGCGCAGGCCGCCCAGACCGGAGCTCGTTGCTTGAAATGGAAGTTCGCGTCGGGTGCAGGTCGGTCGGGGTGGGTCGGCGGGTCGGCGGCAGCCGCGCCGACTTCGGAAAAACGAGCAAAACAGGTCGTCGACACTTTCGTGGTCAATGCCGCTTCTCTCCTACATATGTATCTGCGTGTATACGTAGATGTGCATGTGTAGTCCGTATTCTCTTTCTCTCTCTCTCTCTCGTGCGTTCCCTCTTTCTCTTGTGTTTCTATAATGTGTGACTTGGCACATATTTCATCAATAGATGTGTGCAAATTTACGCGCATCTTTACACACGTATGTATATGTATGGATGCATGCATGCATGCATGCATGTAAGCATGCATGCATGTATGAATGTATGCATGTGTGCACGTATGCATGCATGCATGCATGTATGCACGTATGCATGTGTGCATGTATGCATGTGTGCATGTATTCATGTATGTATGTATGTATGTATGTATGTATGTATGTGTGCACGTGTATACGTGTATGTAGGTATGTGTGTGTGTGTGCATGTGTATGTCTGTATATATGTCGGACCCCTTTCCACTGTTTCTCCCTCTTTTCTTTCCCCCACGCTCCCCTTTTCCTCTCTCTCTCTGTGTCTATGTCTCTCGATACTAGTATCGCTATGCTGATTTCGAGTGGTCATGTTCCTCTCTCTCTCTCTCTCTCTATCGCTCTCTCTCGCTTCCTGGTGGGTGGACTTCGTGGGCGGAGCAAGTTCGCCATGCAGCCAGAAGTTAGCATCTCGATGAGTCACGATCGTCGTTGCCCTCCTCCTCCACCTCCTCCTCCTCCTCCTCCCCCTCCTCTTCCTCCTCGTTTCAACACTCCCCTTAATTTGGTGGTTGCAGACGCGGGCATCCGTGCCATCTCGCCTCGAGTCGGCCAAGTAACTTCTTAAGACATGTACACCATGTTTGGCGCTCGTCGAGAGTAGACTCGTACATTCTATTTCCAGATGCCGACGATGGATCTCTGGCATCAATGTGGCGAGCGCCACGCTGTCCAAACTCCCGCGCATGCAAGTGCATTATGTTCGATCCCTCTTGCGACGAGGGCCCCCTCCCAGCAAAATGATCACCGCGCCGCGCCTGCTGGCCCCGATCACGCATCAGGCAGAGCGGGCCTCCAGGCAATGAGATCTGCCAGCAAGCACGCCACCACCAGGCCGATGTCCGGAACCGCCGTGGCGTTGCCGATCGCGCGGTTGGCGGCTTTGAACGAGTCGAAGCGGTCAACGATGTCTTGAGCGAATCCATGGAGCATCGCTCTCTCGTAGGAGGTGATCTTCCTGTCGTACCTCGGCAGAGTGGGACTGAGCCCCCACACCCACAGTTCATTGTGCGTCATGATGGTGGGTGTCACGTCAAGCTCCCACGAGGGCCTGCGAACCTTGTCGAAGCCGCGGGAAAGATCACGCACGAGGACCACGTCTCCGAACTCTGTAGGCATAGTCGGCAGCGAAAGGCTCCTCGTAGCTGCTAGCTTGTAGTTCTCGAGATTCTTTGTCATGATCTCGGTGAGCTTGTGGGTCTGGCTCGGGAGCGTAGGGTCCAGAATCTGCCTCAACGAGATCCTTTTTATCATGATAGTCTCTGGATTGAACTCAGGGTGGTGGCGCTTGAATCGCATGGCCAAGCGTCCGACTAAGTAGATCCGCTCACGCTGCTGAGGAAGCGAGTGTCGGCTAGCGTCCACCTTCCAGAACCACACATCCCACGACGGACCCAGCTCGTTCTTCAGAAGCTCCATCACCTCATCTAGGCAAGACGTCGGGAAGGAGTCGGCGTCGGAGGTCTTGCGCTTCTGTGCGAAGCCCAGCACGTTCTCCAAAATGAAGAACTTGAAAATGGAGCACGGGTGGTTCGCCTGGTGCGAGATGCACTGGGTGATCCCCTTCAGCACGTTCGTGCGCTCGTCCGAAAACAAGAGCTCGTTGCCTTGCTTGGAGAAAGGCTGGCAAGGGTGGCCGCTGATGAGACCGTCGTACACTGTGAGTTTCTGATGCTCAACCTGCGAGTGCGCAGAAACAATAATCTACAATCATGCCCATTCTCTCCTCAGCCTCCTGCCTCTCCCCCATCGTCGTCGTCGTCGTCGTCGTCGTCGCCGTCGCCGTCGTCGTTGTCGTCTCGTCTTCCTACCCCTGGGGAGAAACACGGATTGTGAGGCGTCCGACTGGGGATGAATGGGAGGCGGGTTAAGGGGGGGACGGTTGGGGCGACAACGCCTCGGCGTCTTCGCCGATCTCGGAGAGGGCCGACGCGAGGGGCGCCCACTCGTCAGCTGTCGCCGCCAGAGGAGGTCAAGGAGGGAGGGAGGGAGGAGGGTGATCAGGCATTACACACATTGGACGATGAAGAGGGGATGGGGGTGATGAGGAGGAGGAGGGAGCAGGGGGGCAGAGTGGATGTCGAGGAGGAGGAGGAAGAGGAGAAGGAGGAGGAGGAGGAGAAGGAGGAGGAGGAGGTGGAGGAGGAGGGACCCTTGGGCCGTAAGCGTTGTGTCTGGGAGGGTGGCGGTCAGTCATATTATACCCGTGGCACTTTGTTGAAGTCGCCGTCGTCTGGGCCCACGTGCACGTGCAAGCCGTCGTTCTCGTGCACGTGTAGGCATTGTTTGTAAACTGATGCGTCGGCGTCCCAACACTTCGATTCAACTTCGACCCCCATCTCCCGCATGGCAATGATCGGTGTCTCCACGCCGCAGCAGGGGGTGATCCGACTCGCCCCATCCCGCGAAGCACCCTGCACCCCCTATGTCCAGGACCCCCCTTGCCACCTTGGATAGGTTTTCGAGATGCGTCCAGCCGTAAGTCCCCAATCGCTTGCCACTTCACCTTCCCTACCCCGCTCGCACAGTTGGCCATCTCTGTTTGGCTTATTCCTGGGGTCAGCGGTTGTCGGCGTCGACCGATCTTAGGATGCGAAGCGGGTCAGGCATGCCCGATCCGCTGACATCTTTAAGAATCGTTGCAGCGGCTGCCTGCCAGGTCTCCCATTCCACGGGTTCGGTACGACGCGCGCGTTTCCCCATATGTGCGCGTCAGAAGCTGCTCGGATGGGGTCTTGCAGCAATCAAATTGCTGCTGGGGTTCAGGGCGGAGGGGGCAGCGGGGAGGG